AGCGGCTAATGGCGGAGTTCCTCTAGCGGAGGAACTAGCTCCGCGAAAACTGGGTCGCCCGCCACGGCGAAGGCGGGGACCCGTCAGAAATCTCAGGTGGAAGAAGCCTGGGAACGTGGGGGTTCAGCAGGGCACCTGGAGCGCCCCCCTACTCGTGGGGAATCCTTTTTAAGGGCTCCGGAGCGAAGTGGGATGAGTGGCGCGGTGCTGCAAACTGAATGCTACTTTCACGGAGTGAAGCCGCACAGCCATTGCCAGGGAGCGCTGACCTTTTTCCTGTGGATATTTGGATCTAAAGTAACTACCTGTGAGTAAAGTGAAGGAATTGGACTTTTAACAAGCTGAATTTGGTTACGAACGGGAGAGGTGTAAAACAGGAAGTCCGCCTTCCTTTCTTTGTAAATAGTGGGAAGCAAGGAGTTTTAAACTAAAGCCTGAAAGATTGCTTTTGACATCTAAATCTTCAGTATAAAACTAGCGAACCCCCCCTTGGCTGCAGGGGAAAAGGGGGGGATTTCTGGACATTATTTCCCTGCAGAAAAAGAGGGTAAAAGTTAATGTTTCACCGCTCGGAACCTGGGAATGGCAGCCATTAAAATTGTTGCATTGTGGAGCTCCGCATTGACTGTGAATAGACTATCTAACTGTCAGATGAGTGAAACATTGTTTCAATTATTTTCTCTTGGCTTAAAAGTTTCAACTATGTTTCTGAACTAAAGTTTGATATTAAACATACTGGCATAAGTTGTTAGAGTAACTTTAAAGAGAAAAAGAAAAAGAAAAGGATGCTTTGGACTAATATAAGATAAACAACAACTACTTCCCTCTAGAGGAGGACTTTGAAACTGTTATAAGGAGTGGAATTTTCCAGTTTTAAAGACAAAACCCTGGGAATTGTACCTGACCTTGAGAGCCTTGAGTGTTATGGCAGATGGGAAGGAAAAAATAGACTCATTACAGGAGAAGACAACTAGATCCGGCAGGACTTTTTGGAGAGCCTCTACATCTGGCCCCCCTGTTCCTTCTGCAGCTGTGTCAATGTATACCAAATCAAAAGGAGGAATGCCCTCGGAAGAAGATTGGGCTCTTGTCTTAAGCAAAATTAACAATTCTTTGGAACAAATGAATAAAAAATTGGACCAAAATTCACAAAAATTGGACCAAAATACACAAAGTATAAAAAGTTTGGAACAAAAAGTTAATTCTAATACAGAAGCTATTGAGACACTAGTTAAGGAATCTAATTCAACTAGGCAGACTGCAGAGGAAGCTAAGGAAAAGATTGCTACGGTGGAAGCAAAAGTAGCACAATTGGAAACAGAGGTCCCGGATGTGTGGAAACAAGTACATGACCAGAAGCAGATGCTTTCTATGTTCGAGCTCAAGGAGAAACAGACAAATCTGAGAATTCGGGGAGTACCTGAACTAGAAAAAGACACCTTGATAGACTTTCTCACAGAGGAATTTGCAGTCTTTTGGAATCGGGACCTACAAAAAGAGGAGTTTAAAATTGTGAGAGCCTTCAGACTGGGAAGAGGAGGGAAGAAGGAGAAGAACAGAATAAGAGACTGTTTGATTACACTCAGATTGAAGGAATAGAGGGATAAAATTTTGAGTTGGCATTACGAGGAGGCCTTGACAATACACAAATTTAGAGTGGAGATATTTAAAGATATTCCCAAATATCTTTTAGATTTGAGATTTAATTTTAGAGATTTGGTTGAACTGCTGAGAAGGAACAGAATCAACTTTCGGTGGGAATTTCCTCAAGGCCTATCTTTTAGCTTTAAAGGAAGAAAAATAAAGATAAGATCATTAGAGGATAAAACAAAGTTCTTGCACAACCACGAAGAAGACCTACAGAAGGGAATCGGAAAAGAGCCAACATCACCGGAAAGAGGGTCACCAGACAGAGGATTGGAGCAAAGAGTACGGAAGAGAGCATCATCAAAAAAAGATACTTTGGATATCTTGGACATTTCATCATTGTCTTTTGGATTGGACCCCCCCGATAAGGAGCTAACATTACCACCAACAGAAGAGGAACAAGATCTGGGGGCAGTTGGGGGAGTACCAAAGTAGCCACAGGATGACGCTGCAGGCCCTGAGTTGGAATGTCCATGGCCTCAACATTTCGGAGAAAAGGCGACGAGTGTTTCATTTATTGAAAAAAGAGCAATTGGACTTAATTTGCTTACAAGAAACGCATGTGACAAGATTACACAGGAAATTATTAAGCAACAAGAAATTAGGTCAAGAATTTATTTCATCAGATAAAGTTAAAAAAAGAGGAGTGGTTCTCTATGCAAAGGAGAACCTATCACCGAAATTTATCTTCAAAGATGAACAAGGAAGACTGGTAGCAATTGAAATCCAATTACAAGCAGATAGGTATTTGGTGATAGGTATCTATGCACCAAATGAAGGGAAATCGGAATTCTTCAAAAAGTTACATGAAATCTTGATGGACTATATGGATTACAATATGATTTTGATGGGAGACATGAATGGTGTTGTATCTACGAATATGGATAAGGCGCAAAGACAAACAATCAGCAAGGATGGAAGACTACCAAAAACATTTTTTGACATGACTGATAATTTGGACTTAATTGACGTTTGGAGAATGAAGAACCCTCTGGGAAGAGAGGGAACTTTCTTCTCGGAGGCAAAAATGACATGGACAAGAATCGACCAAATCTGGGTAACTAGAGGACTGGCTCCAAAGATCAGCAAGGCTGAAATTTGCCCAAAGACCAGCTCTGACCATAATGCGGTGAAGATGGAAATGAAATTAATGCCAACTGGATCCTTCAGATGGAGGATGAATGACTCTTTGTTCAGGAGTGATGAATTCATTAAAAAGGCCCAAAAAACTTTGAAAGATTATTTCGAGATAAATATGAACACTTCAGTGGAAAAAAGAGTAATCTGGGACGCAAGTAAAGCCGTAATGCGACGCTTTTTGACACCACAGAATGTAATTAGGCCGAAACGGCAAAATGACAAAAAGATAAAATTTTGGAAAAAATAAAGGAAGGAGAGAAGAAATTGAGGGCGAAACCAAAGTCCCAGGAGATCTTAAAAGAAATAAAGCTTTACCAAGTACAATATATGAAATTGATGAACCAGGAAATAGAATGGAAGATTAAACAGATGAGACAAAAGACATTTGAATCGGCAAATAAGTGTGGGAAACTGCTGGCTTGGCAATTGAAAAAAGACAAAAACTAAATACTATTACGAATCTGGAAGTGGAAGGAAAGAATATACAGAATCCAGTTGAAATTAGAAGGTGCTTCCAGAGGTATTTCAAACAATTATATACACAAGAAAAGCAGAATGAAATGGACATTGATAAATTCCTGGAAATAAATGGACTACAAAAAATTTCTCAAGAAAATAAATTAATGCTTGATTACAAAATAACGGATCAGGAAGTAGAAGGGGCCATTCAGAATATGCAATTAGGTAAATCTCCAGGACCGGATGGACTGACTTCTAGATACTACAGAACTTTGAAAGAATGGTTAATACAACCATTAAAGGAAGTCTGTAATGAAATATTGGAAGGGAAAAGGGCACCTGAGTCGTGGAAAGAAGCATATATTACACTTATACCAAAATCAGAGTCCGAAAAGACGCAACTCAAAAACTACCGTCCCATATCACTGCTTAATGTGGATTACAAAATTTTTGCAGATATTTTGGCTAAAAGACTAAAAAAGGTGTTAGCAGAAGAAATCCATAAAGACCAAGCGGGCTTTCTCCCAGGCAGGCATTTGTCTGATAATACGAGGAACATAATTAATATTTTAGAAAAGTTACAAGTGAAGATTAATACAAAAGCAGTTTTGATTTTTGTGGACGCGGAGAAAGCCTTTGACAATATTTCTTGGAGTTTTATGAAGAAGAATTTATCGGGGATGGGGGTTGGCAAAAGTTTTGGAAATGGTATAGGTGCAATTTATTCAGAACAAAGGGCCAAATTAATTGTGAATAACGTAGTGACGGAAGAATTTAAGATTGAGAAAGGAACACGACAGGGTTGCCCAATCTCTCCATTGCTTTTTATTTCGGTCCTGGAGGTTCTGTTAAATATGATTAGAAGGGACCAATTGGTTAAAGGTATACAAGTGGGAGCTAAACAGTACAAACTGAAAGCATTTGCAGATGACTTAGTACTGACTTTACAGGAGCCAGAATCAAGCACGAAAAGAGTACTAGAATTGATTCAAGAATTTGGCCAGGTAGCAGGTTTTAAGTTGAATAAGATGAAAACTAAAGTCCTGGAGAAAAATCTGAACGTGATTGAGAGAGAGAAGTTTCAGAGAGAGACAGGTCTGACATTGGTTAAGAAAGTGAAATATTTAGGGGTTAATATGACTGCTAAGAATGTGAATTTATTTAAGGATAACTATGAAAAATGTTGGACTGAAGTGAAAAAAGATTTAGAAATATGGTCAAATTTGAAGTTATCGTTGCTAGGCTGAATTGCTGTGATAAAAATGAATGTATTGCCAAGAATGTTATTTCTGTTCCAATCATTGCAAATTTTGGACAAAATGAACTGTTTCAAGAAGTGGCAGAGAGATATTTCCAGATTTGTCTGGCAGGGCAAGAAGCCCCGTATAAAATTTAAGATTTTAACTGATGCTAAAGAAAGAGGTGGATTTGCCCTGCCAGACCTAAAACTTTACTATGAATCAGCCGCTTTTTGCTGGCTGAGAGAATGGATGCTTCTTGAAAATACGGATGTTTTGGATTTGGAAGGTTTCAATAATGTATTTGGTTGGCATGCATATTTGTGGTATGATAAGGTCAAAGCACACAAAGCGTTCAAAAACCATATTGTAAGAAAAGCACTGTTTAATGTCTGGATAAGATATAAGGATTTGTTAGAGAATAAAACCCCAAGATGGCTGTCACCTATGGAGGCAAAGGCCCAGAAAAAACTCAATATGGAGGCCAAATGGCCGAAGTATTGGGAAATCTTGGAACAAGAGGGTGACAGATTAAAATTACAGAGCTTTGAAAAATTAAAAAACAGAGTGCGAGATTGGCTCCATTATTATCAAATAATGGAGGCATATAATCAGGACAAAAAAATAGGTTTTCAAGTGGAAAAATCAAAGCTGGAAACAGAATTGTTAGACCCTAAAGTTAAGAATTTGTCAAGAATGTATAACTTGCTATTGAAATGGAATACTCAGGATGAAATGGTGAAATCTGCTATGATTAAATGGGCAAAGGATGTTGGACATAATATTATGATAGCTGACTGGGAACAGTTATGGACCACTGGTATGAAGTTTACGGCATGTAATGCCTTAAAAGAGAATTTAATGAAAATGATTTACAGGTGGTACATAACACCAGTCAAGCTTGCAAAAATTTATCATTTGCCTGATAATAAATGTTGGAAATGCAATGAAACTGAAGGTACTTTCTTTCACCTCTGGTGGACATGCCCAAAGATTAAGGCATTCTGGGAGATGATCTATAATGAAATGAAAAAGGTATTTAAATATACCTTCTTAAAGAAACCAGAGGCCTTTCTCCTGGGCATTGTCGGCCAATTGGTGCCAAAGAAGGACAGAGTTTTTTTCATGTATGCTACAACAGCAGCAAGAATACTCATTGCAAAGCAGTGGAAGACACAAGACCTACCTACCAGGGAAGAATGGCAGATGAAACTGATGGACTACATGGAATTGGCGGAAATGACTGGCAGAATCCGAGGCCAGGGAGAAGAGTCGGTGGAAGAAGATTGGAAAAAATTCAAAGCTTATTTACAGAAATATTCTAAAATTAATGAATGTTAGAAAGATGCTGGAAAGAAGTTATATGACTTTAGTAGAAATATTATAAAGAATTAAGTATGAATAGATTGATACTGAGTAAAGAGGTAAATTTAAGTCTAAAATTGTGTTAAGTTAAATCATGGAACTAAATTTGTGAAAGAGGGAAAGGACTTGCTGGAATATTTAATTGAACTAGAATACAAAAAAGGAGGTGTGAGGAAGTCGAGGAAATAAGCAAATGAAAGATAAGGATATGAAAACATGTGGTTCTTTTGTATGTTTGTTTGTTCTCTTTGGGGTTTTTCTTTTTTTAAATGCTTTTGTTTTCTTTTCTTTTTCTTTTTGTATTGTTGATGTACTACTGTATTTATTTTTGTTTTTGAGGCTTTGTAATTGTTTATTGCTTATATTTTTCTTTTGTTTTTTTCTGTTTTTTTTGCAATGTCTAAACTTCAATAAATACTTTATATATATAAAAAAAGATAGACAGGGCAGACCCGGTGTCGATCTCCATGTCACATGGAGCTCCTTCAATGAGTACCGTGACGTTCAGCTTGCGTCGCGTAGGCGAGTCGGTTTGGCCAATCGTGGTTCCAGATGGGCAGCAGCAATTGGTGAGAGCGAAACAGCTTTCCTTGGCGGACTGTAGTGAAGACTTGGACTTGCGAGTCGGTGAAGGGGGGGTGTCGGACGGAGCCGATCGGCAGACCTTAGTGATGTGGCCCCTTTTGGATCACGTCCGACAGATGGCATCTCTGAATCGACACTTGGCACGGGAATGGTTGCCTCCGCAGCCGGCACATTCCAATTGGCCCTTGGACTTCTGTTGGAACTTCCTGCGCTCCCGCTTTGTCTGGTGCACGTCATCGTCTTCACTGGAGGATGCATCATCACTGCTGGCCTCTTCGTGATGCACTGGAACTGGCTTCCTAGCAAGATGCAGGCTGCTGGCCTTGCGGATCTCCTGGGTGGAGTGTTCAGCAGCTTCCGAGGCCACAGCCTCCTCAATGGCTTTCTGCAGCGTGATGTCTGGCTTGGCGAGGAGACGCCGTTGCAGATGGATGTCCTGGACGCCGCAGACGATTCAATCCATCAGGGCATCGTCTAAGTCTCAGAACTCGCAGTGCATTGCAGCCTGTCGGAGGGCGGTGGTGTAGTTGTTAATTGACTCCCCCTATGCCTGGTTCTGGTGGTAGAATGCATGGCAGGCAGCAATCTTGGACGGCTTTGGTGCGTAGTGGTTGCGGAGCTTCTCTTGAATCGTGTCCCATGGTGTTGCCTGGACTGTTTCAGGCGCAACCAATGCTCGGGCCGTCTCAAACACCTCAGGCCCACAGAGGCTGAGGAATAGGCCCCGCTTATGCTCCTGTGATACTTTCATCAGCTCGTTGGCTTGGAGGTAGCAGTCGAACCGAGCGAGGTAGGAGTCCCATGATTCAGAGGCTGGCGCAAATGGCGGTAGAGACACAAGTGAAGCCATGGTTCCGATGTGGGGCGATGGATGGAACACAGTGCTCTAGCCAGGACAGTCAGCTCTGAATTGGTTCTGTTCAGTGATTTCTCTCGGTGTTTCAGCTCAGTGATTCAGCTCTGCTCAGAGGGTGGCTGCATCTGGCTGTGCTCTGTTGTCCATCCATCCCATCCTCGTCGTCAGTGTTAAGTTGTGGGTGAACATATCAGACGACACAGCGATTCTTCAAACAGCTCTTGTTTATTCACAGGCCAGAACAGAACTGAACTGAACTGAAGGGTTCAGTCAGCCTGCTTTATAGAGCTCCCATACAACGTTACTGTAACAACTTCCTAAAACTATCCAATCTCTGAACGTCACTTTCGATCCCTTATTTGCATAACTATCTACAGTATCCCCCTGCTGGCCCAGGGTGAGAACTTCAGTACATAACAGTGGGCATCCGGTGGAAGGAGGCTGGCATCGGAAAGGGTGCAGGGAGAGTGGGCGGGGGAGACACGAGCCCAGAGGTTTGGGCCAGAAGATAAAAATAAAACTCCATGAGCCCTTGGGGAAAAGCAAAGCAGCCAAACCACCAAGGTGCCCAAACCCTGACTTCTGCCAGTCCAGGACACTCAGTACCAATGTCTTTTGCGGTCAAAAGCAAGGGAGGGGGAGATGCCACCCTCAGGAAATCCAGCTTCTGCATGTTGTGCAGTCTTTAGCAGGTTGTAGCATCTGGAAGTCTGCAGAGACCAACTCTGGGGCAAAAAGGGGCCCCCAGACACTGGAAACTGATGGACAAATCTCCAGGGAGGGTCTGTCTGAGAGGGTCCAGCGTCCTGAGGAAAGGGAGGCACAACCCCAAACCCAGACAGGGGCTGCCTCCCCACCATGGCTGCTGTGGCTGCTGCTGCAGATGAATGGAGGGCATTTGCCCTGACGCCACTTGGAACAGGCAAGTGCATCTCGGGGCCGGACCAAGTTTCCAGTGCTGCAGGGGTGCCCAAGCCTGCAGGTGGCTTGTTTGTTTAACCCACAGCGCCACCTGCGTCCCTCTGATCCAATACTAGCCCTACTCAAAACAGACCCATTGAAATGAGTGGACATGAATAACTTGGGCCCATTAATTTCAATGGATCTACTCTAAGTAGGGCCAGTATAATCCTTTCTTGCTAGTGAGTCACATGATACACAGAATCACTGCTGTTCTGTCACCAAAATGTGGAGAAGAAAAAACCCAGAAGCGAGTAACTGTAGTACAGTGGTACCTCAGGTTAAGTACTTAATTCGTTCCGGAGGTCTGTACTTAACCTGAAACTGTTCTTAACCTGAAGCACCACTTTAGCTAATGCAGCGCCGCCGGAGCACGATTCCTGTTCTCATCCTGAAGCAAAGTACTTAACCCGAGGTAATATTTCTGGGTTAGCAGAGTCTGTAACCTGAAGCGTATGTAACCTGAGGTACCACTGTACCAGCAGTGAATAAGGTTAAGAGAAGTAGCCTTCTATTCTGCCTTGGGGAGACCACCTGCTCAAGAGGAGCTGGGGGGCAACTAATAAGCAACAGTCTCCTGCAAGGCAGCGAAGTATAGCAAGAATCATGACGAGGAGGTTCATTGGTGCTTCAGGCACAGCAGAAACAAGGGCAGCAGTTGCAGCAACGGGCAATGAGACATTGGGAACATATTTGAAGATCTTGTTTACACTGTGGTGGCAGACACCCGACCGTCGTATGTTTTTGCATACAGCCGCAGACCTTGCTGTTGTCTCGCCGTCGCCATTTCCAGCCACCTTGTATCGATCTTATCGACGGCGATGCCTTATTCTTTATCACATGCGGGCCTTTGCAAATTTGTCCTTCCACCCCGTGCCTTTCTTTCTCTGCATCGTTTTCCTATTTTGTACCGAACGGCGTCTCCTACTCCGCAGCGCGCTTGGACCGATCTGGATGAAAAGTTGCTAGGCGCGGAAACCCCGCCACGCACTGCAAGTTGGGACTGTGTGGAGGCCGCGTTCTTGTCACGGGAAGCGGGGCCGGGGCTCGTTTCTCAGAAGAGACGACGGCGCTCCGGCTTGCGAGGGCGGGGAGGGGCGAGTCCGTGTTCCGACAGCAGGCGACCCTTGCAGCGCTGGCCGCCCCTTTCTGAGCCTCCAGCTGGCGCTGCGCTCCTTGGCAAGCGGCTAGCGGGGAAGAGCCGCCTCGGTGTCCCCACGTAGCCTCGAGGGCGTCCTTCCCACCACCTCGGCGGCTCGCTCCGCGCCTCCTTCGACACCAGCAGCCAGCTCGCTCGCTGCCGGTTGTGTTTCGCCTCGGCGGTTCCCGGGGCTCCAGCGCGCAGCGCCTTCCCGCCCTTGGCGCGGCGCCCTCGGCCCGATTGGCTGGCGGGGCGCGCCGCGGGGCTCGGCGTCGCGCTGCCGGGACGGCGCCTTCGGCGGCGGCGAGCGAGGCTGGCGCGGGGCTGCCGGCCATGAGGGCGCCGGCGCGGCTGCTGCTGCTGCTGCTGGCGGCGCTGCTGCTGCTGCTGGGGCGCGGCTGGGGCGCGCGGTGCCCGGCGCGCTGCGACGTGTCGCGGTGCCCGAGCCCCGGCTGCCCCAGCGGCTACGTGCCCGACGGCTGCAACTGCTGCTTGGTGTGCGCGGCGGGCGAGGGCGAGGCGTGCGGCCGCGCCGAGGACCCGCCGTGCGGAGACGACCTCCAGTGCCGCTTCCCGGCCGCGGGGCTGGGCCAGGGCCCCGGCGTGTGCCAGTGCCGGCTCCGCGCGCCGGTGTGCGGCAGCGACGGCAGGACGTACGCCAACGGGTGCCGCCTCAAGAGCGCCGAGCGCCAGGCTCTGCAGCAGGGGCTGCCGCCCGTCGTGCCGGTCCAGAAGGGCGCCTGCGGAGCCGGTAAGAGCCGCGCGGACCCCCGCCAGCCCCGCAAACCCCGAGGCCAGGAAGAAGCCAGGGCCAAGCGGAGAGCCCGAAGGGAGAGCAGCCGCTTAGTGGCCGCCTTCTCCTCCAGCCCCCAGAGAGCCGCAGACCCTCCGGGTCCTGATCCTGATCCGCTTGCTGCTGCGAGAGAGAAATACGGAGCGGGGTGGGAGCTTTAGACGCAGGACTTTGAAGGCGGCCTGACAGCTGTCGCTGCTCCAGCGTGGTGGTCGCTGTGATCTCACTCCGCCCTGCCGAACAGGTTTTGTATGCTTCTGTGGCGCTTCAGAAACCTGCAACACCTGTTCCACCAGAGAGAATAGCAGTGCAAAAGACGAGTGCGTGTGTATGCACGCGATGCGCAACTTGCATAGTTCCGCCTTCAGCTGTTTTGTTGCCGACAGCTTTCTTGTTGAGCCAACCACCGTAGGCAAGCTTTTTATGGCAGTGCGCAATTCCTGACGGGGCATTCTTCTGGTGAAGGCAATGCTTGATTCCATTAAAAGACAAAAAACGTACTGATTTGTGCCACGTGCCAACGTGGCAACAGAACCGATTTGGGAGCAGCCTCTCCATGTAATAACAGCTCAGTAGGGAAATGAGAAGGATTTAATGCACTGCATTAACTTCTCTCTCCGGTGGGGGAGCACGTACTACTGGCAGCATCTCAAGAACGTTTTGTTCTGACATGGTTCCTTCTGTCAGCTGAACCCTTTTCAGTTCCCTTCCTAGTGCATCATGCCAAACAAAGCCTAACAGTAAGCCTCTGATCTTCAAAAAGTTATACATTTAGAGGATTATATTTTCACATTGACCTGCATGCAGTGGGAAAGGGGCTGGGAGCGGAGGTGGCTCTGCGTCCAAAACAAGAAAAGCAAAGCAATCTAGCTAGGGTCAAACCGCATGTTACACTGCGGCACTCAGGGCTGGCCCACCCACCAGGCAAAGTGAGGCAACCAGCTTGGGTGGCAGGATCCACAAGGGCAGCAGATCTGGCCTCCAAGGAATGCCAGTGGCAGTTGTGGCACACTTCTCGGAGGCCGGATCTGGCACCTCCTTGGCAGCCCCCCACCCACTGCCGCCTCTACAATGACTTTTTGGCAAATAGGAGGCGCTGCTGGTCTCCTCCCACTCTTGTTCCTAATGCAGATCCTTATTCCCCACTTGCTCCTGATCTAGATCATCGCTCACTCCTTCCCTAGCAGGGTGACAAACCCACTTTGTGGTTCACTTCAAATGCCTTGGGCCAGCTCTGGCAGTAGCATTAAATCAAAGCTGCAACAACAAACTAAGACGTGCCGTGAACAACTATTGGCAGTGGCACAAATTGTAGTTCCATGTTCTTGTGGGACCCACTGTGGGTCACAGACTGATCTAAAGTGGGTCACATTAAAACAAGCAACACTATCACCATTTTGAGATAGGATAAAACATTAAGAAGTGGGTCTCTAAATACATAATTTGGGTGCTGTGTGGTGGCATCTCTCCTCCCTTCCCTTTGTGTATTGTGCTCCAAAATGGACCAACGTACGGGGACTTCCAACTCCCCCCTGGACAGATGCCTCTAGTATTATGTTGGTGGTGCTTGTGTCACTGGAGCTGATGGCTTGGTGGTGCTGTGATGTGTCCTTCATCAACCTCTCTCCATGCATGTGGGTGATTTCAGCAGCACACTCTCCAGATCTGCCTTTCTCAACCTTGGGTCCCCAAATGTTCTTGAACTTCAACCACAACTCCCATCATCCCTCACCACTGGCCATGCTGGCTAGGAATGATGGGAGTTGTAGTCCAACAACATCTGGGGACCCATGGTTGAGAAAGGATATTCCAGTTGGTGGGCACAGGCAGTGTTTCAAGGGGCACTAGGGAAGCAAGCCTAGAGACTAGGTTGATGTCTCTTGTTTCCATAATTCTTCTTGTTATGGAAACAAAAAGAGTTGTTGGGTGAGCAGAGTTTGTTTGGATCCTGGGTGAGAACTCGGAGATTGAGAGGGAGCATATGTCATCAATGGAACATTTTAATACGTAATGGTGTAATTTTGTAATATTTGTCTGTTGCTTTTTAAGCTTTTAGTACACCGCTTAGAGATGTTTTAAACATATTAAGCAGGATAGAAATTAATCAATGCCTTCACTTCTAAAATGCTATTTTAGTAGGATTTGGCAGCAGCTATTTTTTTGGCATAATAGTTGCGTACCTTCCCCCATATCCTGCATCCTGGTGTAACTAGGGTATAGGATTGCCCTGTAAGTGGAACTGATGGGTTTTTTTTCCTCGAATCAGAAACCCCAGTTGAACTATTTTTGGCAATTGGGTAACATTTTCAGATAGCATGTAAAATTTACATGACACACTTTTAAAATTTTTGTTTAGCAACTTATGTCAAACATGCTAAATCAGATCTCCTTGGTTTTAGGACAGTGGGAAGTTTTTTTGGGGGAAACTTTCCATTCAGTTTTTCCCAGAAAACCCACATAATCTGCTAGAAATACAAACACTCAAACAATAACATTATTTTCTTTTCCGGTTGTTTCCTGCAAGTTTCAGACAGTTTCAAAATGTTTACTTTGGTTTTCTGTGTGTACAAGTAATACCATTTGAAAATTCTAAAAACAGCATTTCATAGTTCTGTGGCTGAGTCATGAAAACATGTGCACAACGGGCTGTGATCTCTTTTGTTTTTGAAGAAGAACTGTTTTACCCTGTAAATTAAAGCCTCTTAGTAATGCAGAGAGAGAGAGCCTCTGAACACAATATTTGGAGGTTGGCAAAGAGAGAAAAAAAGCCATTATCTTAGGCTGCATACACACAGCAGTTTAAAATGGATTCAGTGTGTCCATGTTTTTACACTCCCCTCCATTTAATTTGGATTTCCCTGATCCACAGATAATGTGGTTTGTGTGTGGGGGGGAGGGGAATCAACATATAATTTCATTTTACCCAACTGTGGACATATTGAAGAGTATTGTGTGTGAGGGACGGGGTTTAACCTATGTGCTGATGTTTTGTTGGATATCACGACATTCCTCAGTGGGTTGCTGGTGGGTTGAGAGCAACACATATTTTATGTAAAAAAACCCAACCCACTGTTTTGTGTAAGTGTGCTATATCACAAAACTTGTATTTCAAAAACATTTTTTTTAATAAAAAAAATGCCCACCCACAAATATTCTCACAGCAGACCTCACAACACTTTTATTGCCATCATCATTATTAAATAAATTTATATGCTGCCTTTCAACCCAAGATCACAGGGTGGTTGAAATTCTGATGGGAATCCAACTCACAGGTGGGGAATGCGCTGTTGTGCTCAGGTGCTGCTTTCGGGTGTCTGATTGGTCATGGCAAAAACAGGATGCTGGACTAGACGGGCCATTGGCTCAATCTAGTAGGCTCTTCTTATATTCTTGGGACCTAAGTGCAACCACATTCTCCCCATTTGTGATGCCCAGAAACTGGTACACTGAAGATGGAACATGGTTAAGAGCGAATGATAGGCTTACAGTGGTACCTCTGGATGTGAACGGGTAGACCAAATGATGCCTCCAAAATGAAAACACAAAATACATACAAGAAGAAGAAGAAGAAGAAGAAGAAGAAGAAGAAGAAGAAGAAGAACAGAACAACAACAACAACAGAAACAGAAGCAGAAACACTACCCCACACACATTTAAAAGGACATAGAATCAGCCAAAGGCTTGGGTGAAGAGGATTGTTTTTGCCTGGTGCCTAAAAATATGTAGTGAAGGTGCCAACGAACCTCCCTGGGGAGAGCATTTCACAAACAGGGAGCCACTGCAGAAAAGACCCTTTCCCTTGTTGCCACCCTCTGGGCCTCATGTGTTGGAGGCACATGAAGAAGGGCCTCAAATGATTTTCTCCAGGTCTGGATTAGTTCATCTGGGGATAGGTGGTCCTTTGTGCAAGTCTGATATAATGGAAAACTTGTATTTCAAAAATGGAAAAGAATTGGCTGTGTGCACAGTTAAACAAATATGCCCACAATTGACCTCAGGTTTCCAGAAGTTATGGTGGGTGGGGAAATACCAACTGAGGGGAGAGGACAACACCACAGGGTGCAAATAAATGCAGCTCATCTCACTAGTGTGGACAGGAAGCCTCAAGACCTTGAGAGTTTAATTGAATGCTCATGCGTGCACAAAAGCACACCCGGGAAAATCAAAGTTGTGTGGTTCACGTGCACTTTAGACCTCTCTGGAGTGCTGGCAGGGTGTAGAAGTATGAATGGTGGCTGAATGTATAAAATGCCTTTTTTGTTTGTTTAATGAGGAATAACTTTGATGGAGGATTTGGAATCACAATAAATATGCATAGAAAGGAAATGGGTGTTGGGAAATTAAAAGGTGATGGGAAAACACACATAGGAGCTTGAAGTATATACTTACTGAGAGTCAAAGCCCAAAGCAGGGGGCAGCATATACTTATTAATAAATAAGAAATTTAAATGTTAATATAAATTCAAAAATTGAACTTGCGCTGAAAGTTATAAAGTTGACCTCTGGCAAGTAAAGAAAACTTTTTGAAATGTTGCCAATGGAATTTGTCCATCCCCTTCAGAATCTGCTTCCTTCATTTATTTTCTTTGAAGATATTTTTTTAAAAGCAACTTTCAGCGCAACAGGTTCAGCATGGAATAAAATAATAATTATGACTCATGTCGTCTGAGGAAATGAGATGTTAAACTGTTAAAAAAATGAACCACTAGTCCAGAATAAACAATATTTTTTTTAAAAGCTTAAAACTCCTTCCTAATGTTGGAGTATTTGATGTGCTCCTGTAGAGAAGCAAAACAAAAACATAGCATTTTAAAAGAAAATAATATTCCTCCCCCACCAAGTACTTCTGGGAACTTATTTATTTCTAATTACACTTTTCACATTTCCTGTAATGATGATGTCCTCATGCAGAATGACAAACAAACAAAATACAGGGACAATTTTTGTTTCTCTGAGAAACTAACCAAAAATCTTCCAGGAGAAAAAAATACCTTTACATTTATATTGTTATTTTGTTTTTTCACACCTTATATTAAAAATTATTATTTGCTTGATTCTGAAGAGCTGAGACAAAATAAAATACAGGACATGACCATTTTACACACATCAGATTGACTGCTGACCGCCCATCACCACGGGTCTGGAAGTGGCCCAAAAATGGGGCGGGGCTGGGGCTGGGGCGTAACATGCATTCCTATTATGTAGAAATAAGCAAAATCCCTATTGATTTCTAATTTCTTAATAACACTTCCCTTTATCTTTGCTAGTATAGATCATCAACAGCCAAACAGCCCAAGGTATAAGTTTAACTTCATTGCAGATGTGGTGGAGAAGATTGCACCAGCAGTTGTACATATAGAACTTTTCTTAAGGTAAGCTGCTGGCATTTATGATTAAAAGTAAAAATGCTGTGCAAGTACATACCTAGTTTTGATGACAACAGGAAAGCGCAACACTACTTTGCCACCATTGGGGATTCGACTACCGGCGGCTGGGGGCAGGGGCGGGCTTATGGTAGATTTCCTAGATTTCTTTTGATTTCCTTCTCTTTACTTTGTGCTCATTCAACCGTTCTGTTGAGGTGGATTTTGCACATGTCCAGGATGTCCGATTTAGAGCAGAATACTGTCAGCAACACACACACAAATTGCGCTGCATGCTCAGGCCCGGCTAGCCAATTGGATGGAGCTGGAGGCACAGACACTCCACGGAAGTGGCCTAGGCAGAACCAAGGAGTGGATGAAGAAACATGGGTTTTCTGGAGAAGGTTCCAAGAAAAAATATGTATACAATGTGCACAAGTATGGACTCTCAGGTGACAAACAGAACGCTGAAAGCTTGGATTTTACCAGCAAGGGTAGATGGCCCTAAAACCACTAACAGCAATGGGTGGAGTTGCACAGTAAATAGTAACTGAGCATTTTCCATAGAAAATCTTTCCAGTATTGAGTGGTTACTGTTTTGGTGCATTTAATCACCCACCATCTGTTTGTAGTGCCCATTAGATCAACTTACTTGTGGTGACTTTAGCTCTGCCTCTTGTACCTCAGGAAACCTGTTGGCAGAGGAAATGGGGGGACGTTCACTGTACTCACTGTGAGCTTTTACTGTTTAACCTGAGGGAAAATTTACAAAAAGGGAGAATAGCAGAAAAGTGTCTCATTTTAAAATGTGGATGTCAGAGCACTGATATTTTTGTAAAGAAGATTCAAAATTTTGGGACTAAATCACCCAGTTTCTCTTTATTTTCCTGAAAGCGGGCAGACGATCCCACAGAGTTGAGGGTCGTTTAACCCATTTCCCCTCCAAATCAGTTCTCCAATGCAAATCACTCAACAGCCCCCCCCAAAGTCGCCATTAGCCATGGAGGGGGGGAAAACATGCATTTTCTCACTGTACTTGCATGTTTTCTTCTCAGTAGCTAATACCAACCAGAGAGGGTACAGGGGTGAGGAATTAACCAACCTCAACCCCCAGACTTTATCCTCAATTCAAATTGGGAACCCCTTGAAGGTGTTTTTACAAAAGTAAAAGGGCATTGTGAGATCTTCACTAAGATAAAGTGGCTGGTAAAATAAGCATTAACAACAGCCCCCCAAATATAATACATAACAATAAAACAGGATCAGGTAAAACCCCAGATCTCCCACATCATGTGTAGTTTGGCCTTGGGATATGGGCTACTGAGAAGAAAAAGGAATTGGGAATTACCGTATTTTTCGCCCCATAGGACGCACTTTTTCCCCTCCAAAAATGAAGGGGAAATGTGTGTGCATCCTATGGGGCGAATGCAGGCTTTCACTGAAGCCTGGAGAGCGAGAGGGGTCAGTGCGCACCGACCCCTCTCGCTCTCCAGGCTTCAGGAAGCTCTCCGCAAGCCTGGGGAAGCCTGTGAGAGTTCCCGCCGGGCTCCCTAGACTTGCAGATAGCAGCCTGTTCTGGGGGCGGGGGTCGGGGGAAGCTCGGGCTTCTCCCGCCCCAGCCCCACGCCTGTGGGGGAAATAATTTCCCCCCCCCCAAAAAAAAACTAGGTGCACCCTATGGGCCGGTGCGCCCTATAGGGCGAAAAATACGGTACCTGATTATGGCTGACTTTTGTTTGGACATATAAGCTGTAGCTGCTGTTTCAGGTGGATGCTTAAAGATGGGTTGCTCCTGAAGGCTGTCTGCAGGACCATCACTAGTATAGTGTCTGGATGCTTGTTGTGGGGCATGTGCTGGGATTTCTATGGCATTTTATGGGTCTCTTGTGTTAATACCTTTTAGCAGCTCTGTCATCCCAGCCATTTCTCTGGAGAAGAGGCACTGCCCTCTTTTTGTTTCTGGGGAAAGGGTGCAGATCACGGTTGTGGCCTGCTTATTTTTTCTCGGTGAGGTTCATTGATTAAGAGGTGGCATTTTTTTCAGGCATCCTCTGTTTGGGCGGAATGTTCCTCTTTCCAGTGGATCTGGGTTTATTGTGTCAGATGCAGGTTTAATTGTAACCAATGCCCACGTGGTGTCAAGCAGCTCCACAGTCACCGGGCGACAACGATTGAAAATCCAGCTGCAGAATGGAGATACATATGATGCAACAATCAAAGACATTGATAAGAAATCTGATATAGCGACGATAAAGATTAATCCACGGGTAAGTAGGGCAAAGGAAGTGTGCCCAATATTTGCATTGAAACCTGAGGCTGCTGACACTCCATAGTTGCCTTAGACTCTCACTGTTTTATGGTAAGGATTCAGTCACATACCTGAAATTGCGGTTTTCACGAATAAAGTGGATTAAAGTACTCTGGTGCAACAAATCCACTTTTAAAAAACACCCACACCTTTTGTTAGGAAGGAGAGTGATGGGGAAAAGCAAGAAAAGTGTGAGATAACAGTTCAAGGACAGCAAAGAAATCAGAATAGTTGCTCAGGAAAGAGCTGCGTTTGTGTCTCTTGTAACAACTAGTTTTTCCCTAAGAAGGTAGTGATTTTAGCAGGGTTAAAGTGCGTTGAGGTAGAGGGTGCTTCTCCTCTTGGATCTTATCTTAATAGGCATGAAATGCATCACAAGTGAAACATTCCACAAATGGAAATTTCTTACATTTTGCCAAGTTCCTTTCAAGTGATTTAGATTGAGAACAGATTTGTAGATGAATGTGCACTCCGAAACGCCTAAAACATAAATCATAGATGGTACAGTGACTGTATTTCCTGACAAGATGTTGGAAGCAAGAGGAAAAGGGAAACCCAGATTGATTTCTAAACTCCAGTTCTTTCATAGCGCTGTTCATTATGAAAGACACAAAGAAGTAAAGTTTAAATTCATGATAGATTTACCACCACCGCCTGCAATTACTTCATGAAGTGGCTTGGAAAAAGCTGAGAAACTCCCTTTACTTCAAAAGATATTGGTAAATAGCATAAATTATTCCAAACCAGTTGGAATTAATTCCCATCCCTGATTGGGAGTACAATGGTATCTGCTCACCCCACCCATAAGCCTCTGTTGAGATGTCAGGAGCACTGCAAACAATATTCCCCAACAGTCTTTGGGATCAACAGAGCAGTGCTGGGAGGAGTACAGGTGTGGTGGAGAAGGAAGGAGAGAGATTTCTCCCCACCTTCATGGTGGGTAAGAGAGTGCAATTGAGTTCTTCCCTGGCTTGATTTAAATCTGAGCCATGGGGAAACTGGAGTGGGGGTTATAATGTTCATCTTGTATGTGAGAGCAGCAGCCACAATTCATAATATGAACCTGGGAGTTATTATTTTCAGTGGCATCTCTAGTTTAACGTTGAGAATTGGACTGAAAACACAACGTTGGTGTCCTGGTGGTCTTTATGCAATTTTCTTGTGGGGCCGTATGTAAATTTTACTAACATTTCTGCACCGATACATCCCAAGATCTTGGAGTGTTCAAGGCCAAGTTCCAAAAGCAACAGTTGCTGGGAAAGGAGATCGGGCTTAGCCAAGATGGGGGGTCCTCTGCAGTGAGCTCAAGCTGGGGCCTGGTGGTTCCTGAGGCCCTGGTCCTTGGGGTCAGTTTACAGAGTTGTCAGTCAGGTGTCAGGATTAGTTCTGCGGCCTTGAAAAGCAGAGATTGATCTGCAAAGCTTGTGGCAGTCACACAGTATGGGTGGTGCAGAGCATAAGGCCACGGGGCTTGGCTCCTGGGAACCCGGTAGCTTGCCTTGAGTAGTGCAGACTTAGTCCAAAGTCACCCCGTGAGCTTCATAGTTCTTCATAGTTCTACCCTGTCCCTAGTTCTGATACATTACTAAAAAAAATTCTGGGAATGTTATGGTTTGCTTTCCTCTGCTCAAATGCAACCACTGTCTTTATCTCCTAGAAAAAGTTGCCTTTCCTTGCCATGGGCCTGTCTGGGGATCTGAGGCCTGGTGAATTTGTTGTGGCCATTGGGAGTCCCTTTGCTTTGCAGAACACAGTGACAACAGGGATTGTCAGTACAGCCCAGCGGGATGGCAAAGAGCTTGGCTTGAAGGATTCTGACATGGATTATGTTCAGACAGATGCTATCATCAATGTAAGTAAATCCTCTGATTTCAGGAAATCTCAAAATCTATGAAGGACCAGAGGTGATGATTTTTAATCAGTCCAACTACTGAGAAAGAACATAGTATTGGAAGGTTTTCCAGTAATATCACAGTTTACAGTTTATCCAATTTACAGCAGTCCAGTACATTCAATACATCTTTTGACTACAGGCAACTCCCAATTTATGCAGGAGTTACGTTCCCAGGCACGACATGTTGAAGTGAAATCGCATATATTTGAAACACCACTGAAAAAGCCTGCAAATACCCCAGTTCTACCCCTTTTTGTGACATTTTTGTAACTTTTGGGGTGGCTTTGGGTTGGGAACAATGCCTGTGTGGACAGTCATGCACATTGAACATGCTTAAAATGGCAGCTGCCTGTATTTCAAAGAAACTGTGAAAGTGGTATGTATTTATGAAATAACAAAGGCTGCTTAATATTTTCTATTTTACTGGTGTTGATGAATCATTGTTTAACCTCTGTCCTTGTTTCTTAAGAAAAAGCAACTTGTAGGACTTGGCAAATTGTTTTGCATTGGCTCATTATTTTAATGTTTCAGCTTATGTTCTTTGCAGGAGGAGGACTCTAGTCCTATTTCCTGATCAGCAGGGCTACCTTAACCCTGACCACTCCCAGCAGCAGCGTGGCATCTCAGACTCAGTCAGAGCCCCTGAAAGGGGTGCTGTAGACCAACAGCCGTTAACCTTTTCAGACCTGGGGCCCACCTTTAACCCCAAAATGCACTTGGTGATCCCATAACTTAATTTTTACCACTTATTTGTGTGGTGGTAGCGCTGCTGTTGCGACCTATCTTAGATCAGGCTGTGACCCTGTAGTGGCTATACTGATGATGGCTTGAGAACCTTCATTTTCTCTGGTTGTTCCATTTCTCTGCTGCCTGACCATCCCTGTTGGGCTCAGCTGCCATTCTCTCATCTGGGATGTGGTGGGGTCTCCAGCCATAAAGTTCCTGGGAAGTGGAAGGCAACCAACTCCTGGTCTTTCCAGTGACTCACACAGCCCATGCATGACAGGCCAGGCAAGTGTAAGCTCTGAGAAGGATGGGATTGGGAGGGCAACTCTGTGTCCGCCCACATCAGGCATGTCTGTCATTCTCCAGTGAGGCAAAAAGCTGAGGTGCCTTATAGAGATGCAGATGCAGAAAGCGCTAAGATTGGCCTCACACATTTGTGTTTTCCTAGCTGTCCCAGTAATTTTAGCTGAACTGCCGTCTTGCTGAAACTTGCAGCTTGTGCAAGGGAATGAACCTGTGTCTTTATGTCTGCATATGGTGCATGCATGTGGTTGCTGTTGGCATCTGTCTGTCTCGAGAGACAATGGAGTGCACCCTTTATAGGTGAAGTCAAACCGCTGCATTAGCAGCACTGAAGTGACCTCCCTGTGAAGAAAATGAGTCTAAGGTGCACACAGCAGCTTTTGTGGGGCAGAAAATACAGAATTGCTGCCTGATAAAGTATGCTTCTTTGAAATATGATGTTCACTTCCTGAAAGTAGCCATAATGTTTTCTGATATTGTTTTGCAGTACGGAAACTCAGGAGGACCTCTGGTAAACTTGGTAAGGACAGATTACTTTAAAGGAGCTTGATAAGCATCTGTCTGCTTTCATTTATCAGACTGAATAGTTTTTTTCAAAAAGGGACAGTTACCCAAATTGCCATCTTGATAGTCTCAGTTTGGCCAATAACGTAGGAGTTGTTTCATGTAGTGGCTGGAGTGCTAGACCTGGGAGGCCAAGTCTCCACTTGACCATGACGTTCACTTGGTTATCATGAGTGTGGGAAGGACAGGTCTATCCACGCATTGATGATACCCAGCCTTGTTTCCTCCTCTAATTTAACCTAATTCCCACAGTCTTTAAGTCTGTTGTGAATGGCAGCGACATTCCAAGCTCTCAAGCAGAGAAAGGACTTTTCCAGCCCTGCTCTGCAGGATTCCTTAACCAGAGATACCAGGGACCGAACACGAGACCCTGGGCGCGCAAAGCCTGGGCTCCACCACTGAGCTGGGGTAGGTGCCCTGGGTCTCTTTTGTGACATCCAAAAATGCTGTGGAAGCCCAGCCCACTGGTCCATTGGGCAAGGCAGAGCTGAATGCTCATAGAGCTGAACGCAGAAGCCAAAGACTCAGTCCAGCACCACAAGCCATGGTGACACATGGCAGTTGCAAAAAGCCAAGCGTATACAATCAGAGCTTTTTTTTTTGGTTAAAAATGAAGTGCCGGCACTGATAGCATACAGCATGAGATTCTTAATCTCGGGGTTGTGGATTGGAGCCCCAGGTTGGCCAAAAGATTCCTGCATTGCAGGGGGTTGGGCTAGATGACCCTCAGGGTCCCTTCCAACTCTATAATTCTATCTTGGTAAAATGACCAAGGGGCTTGTACTCTGTGGCAGTGAGTACCGTGTCAGAAAAAAGCGCTGATTATCGTTAATTTACTATTGTGATAAAAGCACAAGCTGCCTGTTAGGAATACACTTCTTTTTAAAGGCAAAAAGCTTTTAAAATAACAAATGAAATGTGTTGGTATCTTACTTCAACAGGATGGAGAAGTGATTGGCATCAATACATTAAAGGTTGCTGCAGGAATTTCCTTTGCTATTCCTTCCGATCGCATTGCTCGATTCCTGTCAGAGAATTCTGACAAAGAAAGTAAAGGTAAAATTTGAAAGCAATTGTCGGGGATTGGACCAGAGCAGGGGGTGGGGAAACCTTTTCAGAGGCAAAAATGGGCAGAGCAACAAATGTGAATTTCGCCATTTTTTTCGCCAGTAGGCTATTTTCTATAGATACTCACGCACCCCTCTGCACTCTCCTCCCAGGGATGCAAGAAGCATTGTCAGAGTTCAGGGGCATGGTCCATGCAGGCAAAAACACCCAAGGAGGGTGCAAAGCGGGGCTGGTAAGGGCCTGGGGAAGGTGTGCTATGGCCTGGGGATGGGCCCTGAGCCTGAGGTTCCCCATCACTGGACTAGGGAAAGATATTGTACTTCCAGTTTAGTGCAACCAAAGTTTATTTTTGATAGAAATGCCCTAGGCCGCCTTAACAGTTCTTCAGGATGATATTATGTGGCAGCACAATACTCTTACGTAACAGTCCTACACATGCCTTAAAAAACAAGTCCCATCAATTTCGGTGGGGCTTACTTCCAGGTAAATAGGTTTAGGATTGCCACATTAGAACACAGCCTCTTAGGAAAAGCAAACATTTAGTTATAACTAAGCGTTTGCCCCAGGCATAGTTTATAGCATTATTAAATAATAATAAATAAAGGAGTCCTCTTATTCAGATGAAAGATGCTTAAACAAAGTCTTTCATATCTGCAGTGATAAGATGGATGTTGGCATGACGTTATTGTGCTACTCCTGAAACTGTTTGCGCTCAGGGAGTTTGTGCATGTACTGCAATATGCATGATTATAATAGCATATTATCACAATTGTGTTATCGAGATCATATATCGTTTTGAGACTGGAACTGATCCTCGGTTTTCCTGCCCAAGTGCTTTTCCACATGCATCCCATTGCAAGTGCTATTTGATATAAATATGCTTTTATGTTATGGCTGTATCATCTGTTGGCAGAACAGTTTGCCAGCTCAAATGACATTAAAATGGTCTAATAGTCCATCTGAGCACCACCACTATTTAGGGACCACAAGTGCTGCTACTTCCCCTCTTCAGCCTCTGCTATGCGAAGAGAAAGAAGCTGGGTCCTCTTGCTTTCTCACTAGTGGTCCCTATCCTGTTTTCCGTCCCACTGGACCCTTCCCCTCACTCTCTCAGACTTCGCTTTTCCTCCTTCTGTGTTGAGCCTACAATGATGACTATTTTTCCATGTGTGAAATTGACTAGTACCTTACTAGTGCAGCTTAGGGCATGGTAAGTAGCTGGGCTCCTTTCAAATCTTACATATCACTCGTCTGCATTCTGTCCTAGCTGACTGCCTTAATTTCCTTCCTTTCTAACCCCCCACCTTTGATTTCTTCACACGCTTTTAGTAGCAAGTGCTCCTCCAGGCTGCCAGACAGAAAGCACTGGGGGCTGCTTATCCACAGAACAGGCACAGCACAATAAGCTGTTGCGCCAGCTTTTCCTGTGTTGCTGCCGCTGAACTGAATCGATTCAGTTCTCATGTTGGATTGACAATGAAGTGCTAGAACTGTGTGTTGAGGCTCGTAAAGATGTCAGTATTAATTGCTCTTGGAATTGTTATTACTCATATTTCAGTATCTGCCTGTGAGTATGAATTAGATACAAAGTGTGGCATTAAACATAATTGAAGCATTTTTAATGGTTACGTAATTTCTGATATTATTTCCACCAACTCTGGAAAAACTCAGCCTCCAGCTGCAAAAGTAATTATGGTCCCTATCTGGGGCACATTTTAATAATTATAAAATATAAAATACAATGCACAGATGGTTATAACCAAGTCCCCTTCTCCGCCCCCCCAACCTCAGCATCCAGTTTGTCCCTTCCACGTGGCCCCAGCTGTTGGATCAGTGGAGGAAGAGGTCACAAAATATCTATTTGCACATACATTTCCTCATCCAGCTGTAGTTACGAGAGTGGAAGCAGGGTTGGTTAGATCATTATTTGAAGCACAAGTCACCAGAGTAATTCTCCACTAATAATAGAAGTCCCTGCTGTTGCAGGAAAAGGGCATGAAAAATCACTAAGAAAAATCCCTTTCTGGACTCCTAACACTTCACAACTGGAAAACCACAAAATATCCTCTATTAATTGCCCAGCTCCATCTTTGATCCTTGCTGCTCTGTTTCAGAAACATGAGTTCCTCATTTCCTTTTTCCTACTTACTCTAGAAGCAACATGGGAAGTAATTAGGAGCAACATTATGCACTAATGACTATGGGTCACATCCAGTGCTGCACTTGCAGAGTCCTACTCAGCCACCAGGACTTCCTCTCCCTGCCCACCTCCAGATATGCCCCGGAAGGTCCTCCAGCCTTCTGGAGCAGATTTTGAGGGTGCATGGGGGAGTCTGCCAGGGAGAAGAGAGGAGTGAAAAGTTCTGCTGTGCAAGCAGAAGTCTGCTGTGTTAACAGAATAGTTGTTTTGGTTACGACCACGTATGTCTCTCTGTGTGTACATGTACGTACGTACACACATGCTGAAACCAACCCATTAGAAAACATAAATCCTATTTAAGAACCTATAGGGGCTATTCTCACCCCCAAAAGCCAAGCCAAATTAGAAACAGTAAAAGCTGATGCTTCTTTGGGAAAATACTCAGCCTTGTTCTTTTGCAGACATTAAAGCGAATGAAATTCTGCAGCTGGCTGGTGGTCACTAAGTGTATATATGAAGTACATATGATAGAATTAGGAAGGAGCCTTGCCAGTCTTATTTTTTATTTATTTTATTTACAATGTTCTACGCTGCTTTTTTGCACAAGTGCCTATTCAAAATGACTTACAATAAAAAAAATGCCTAGAAGGCAACTTGAAAGTTTTCCTCCTACCATACTAATGGGTATAGGGATGCAGGTCGTGCTGTGGTCTCTTGGGCTTGCCAATCAGGTTGGCAGTTCAAATCCCCGCGATGGTGGTGAGCTCCTGTTGCTCTGTCCCAGCTCTTGACCACCTAGCAGTTCGAAAGCTAGGTGGTCGATAAACAGCTAGTGCAAGTCGATAAACAGGCACTGCTGCAGGAAGAAGGTAAACGGCATTTCCGTTCACTCTGGCTTCCGACATGGTGTCCTGTTGCACCAGGAGCGGTTTAATCATGCTGGCCACAAGACCCAGAAAGCTGTCTGTGGACCAACGCCGGCTCCCTCGACCTGAAAAGTGAGATGCGTGCCTCACCCCAGAGTCGCCTTTGACTGGACTTAACCACCTTTGCCTTTTACCTTTTTTACTAATAGATACCATCCCCCATACCTCTTGTGCTGCTATTGAGCTTTTTACTATTAAACTTAGTAAAAAGCTTAATAGCAGCGTGGTGTTGAATCATCAGAGTCTCAGGGGAGAGAATATGAGGACTGGATGTTGGCAGGTGTTAAATATTCACAAAATGCTTGAGTTATATGCGTCATTAGTTATTTAGAAAGCTGTCCTTTCCATGCCAGGGAAAGGAGGGAGGGAAGCGGGCAGACAAAAGGGGGGTGGGGAGAGAGAATGAGAATTCTTCTGCCTCCCACCCCCATTCACAACCCTTCACCTTGTCCATTATGAAATACCATACATTGGTAATGTTCACTCTTGCAGACTGGATGTGTGTGTGTGTTTAAGTGCATTCGTTTTAGGAAAGACGCACCTGTCTGTATGCCCAGTTTGACAAAATGGGAATGGAAGGTGGGCAAGTACTTTTTGTGAGGAGAGGACAAGCACTCACCACATGCATATATCCTCTCAACGCCCACCCAGTAGTGTGAATGAGAAACATTGGCTTAGGAATCAAAAGGCAGAAAATTAAATCTGCTTTTTGGTGTGGAACCCTTGCACCAATGTGCACGTGGAAAATTCGGACCTGAGGTACCCATTGTGTGAGAAAACACCTCCACATGGAAACAGCCCTCGTTTTAGGGCCAAACCACATAAGACATTTGCTCTTCTGTCCATTTCAGTCTCTCTTTAAACAGAGCTGTGAGTCCCCCAAATGGTATTGGCACCAGGGAACAGGAGGCCCTTTTCTCAGTATAAAGCCTGTCCGCCATGTCACAGGTTTCCTGGTGGGGGAAGTAGCAGCCAGAGAGGGTTCTTGTACCAGAAAAAGGTGGAGAGTATTGACACTCTTCTCAGCACTGTGCTCCCCGCCTAATTTGCAGGGCCCTGTGGCTGTTTTTAAAGCAAAGTTTAAACAAAGCCTCACTGTCAGTCATCCCCTTGTGTTGGGGACAGGGCACCTTCCCTGCTCTGAGGTCATACAGAGAAATAAAGGTTTGAGAACTGCTGCAGATAACCACCTTATCGGTGGTTGTCACCGATGGAAGCGAAGGCTCAGAAAAAGCTCAATGTGGAGGCCAAATGGCCGAAATATTGGGAAATTTTGGAACAAGAGGGAGACAGATTGAAATTGCAGAGTTTTGAAAAACTAAAAAACAAAGTGCAAGATTGGCTTCATTATTATCAGATAATGGAGGCATATAATTTGGACAAGAAAATTGGCTTCCAGGTGGAAAAATCAAAATTGGAAACAGAACTGTTAGAACCCAAAACCAAGATTTTGTCAAAGATGTATAACTTGCTGTTGAAATGGAATACTCAGGATGAAACGGTGAAATCTGCTATGATTAAATGGGCACAAGATGTTGGTCATAACATAATGATGGCTGACTGGGAACAGTTATGGACCACAGGTATGAAGTTTACAGCATGTAATGCCTTAAGAGAGAATATTATGAAAATGATTTACAGGTGGTACATGACACCAGTCAAGCTTGCAAAAATCTATCATTTGCCCGATAATAAATGTTGGAAATGCAAAGAAACTGAAGGTACATTCTTTCACCTTTGGTGGACGTGCCCAAGGATTAAGGCTTTCTGGGAGATGATTTATAATGAAATGAAAAGGGTATTTAAATATACCTTTTTGAAGAAACCAGAGGCCTTTCTCCTGGGCATGGTTGACAATTGGTGCTAAAGAAGGATAGAACTTTCTTTATGTATGCTACAACAGCAGCAAGAATACTTATTGCAAAGTATTGGAAGACACAAGATTTACCCACTCTGGAAGAATGGCAGATGAAGGTGATGGACTATATGGAACTGGCGGAAATGACTGGCAGAATCCGAGACCAGGGAGAAGAGTTGGTGGAAGAAGATTGGAAGAAATTTAAAGACTATTTACAGAAATACTGCAAAATTAATGAATGTTAGAATGATGTTGGACTGAAGTTAAGTGGTTTTAAGCAGCAATGTTAAAAGGAATATGTAAAAATGGATTGTTAACAGGTGAAAATTTAAAGTTATTATATTTTAAGATAAGAGATTAAGATCAAATTAAAGAGGGAAAGGATTTGCTGATCTAACTAATTTGAACTGGAATACAAAAAGGGAGGTGTGAGGAGGTCGGGGAAACAAGCACATGAAAGATAAGACATGGAAAGACCAATCTGTTTTTTTATTGTTTTTTATCTTGTATTTTTACTTTTTTCTTCTATTTTTTTTTCTGTAATTCTTTTTTCGTTTTTTTTGCATATTTTGTAATATGTTGAAACCTTAATAAATATCTTTTTTTTAAAAAAAAAGAGAACTGCTGCAGATATAGAACTGCTTGCCCTTTCAAGAAAGCACTTTGGAGACAGGTTTTACCTTAGGCGAAATAGATCATGTATATAAACTTTGTAAGTCGTAAGGTCTAAAAATAGGAAGCTGCCACATAGTTTAGAAACTTGGCAGATTGTCTGGCCTTTCCGTAAGCTTTCCTAACAACCTGATGTTATGAATTGGCTTGAACTGCTGCCTGGGGAGATTGGTTTGTGCCGCCACACACACATACACACCAACTTGGACTTCTCTGCCCTCCTTCCCTTATGGCCAGGGAAGAGAGGTGCAGAGCCCTTAAGACGCTGCCTGAGGGAGGAAATGCCAGGCCTTGGTCTCAGCCCCATTATGGAGCACACCTGAGCCCTGGGAGGGCTGGCACTTGAGCTGGGCCAGCCCTGGCCATTGGGGACATTTCTGTGAAGACCTTCTTATGTTGACAGGGCATGGCAGCTGTTTCCTTTTAAACTTTTTTTAAATTACCGTATTTTTCGCTCCATAAGACACACTTTCCCCCTCCTAAACAGTAAGGGGAAATGTGTGTGCATCTTATGGAGCGAATGCAGGTGGGAGGCAGGTGGGTAAAGAGCTCTTGGGGGCTATTCCCGAGGAGGGAGAAGGGACTGACTGGCTGTGTCAGTCCCTTCTCCCTCCTCGTAGAAAAGCCCGCAGGTGCCGTGCTCCCTTTAAAGAGCGCATGGCTGTTGCTGGCTTTTGTGGGAGCTGGGGGAAGTGACAGAGGGCAGCCCCTCAGTCCCTTCCCCACCTCCCAAAAAAGCCCCCAAGAGCCGCACTCCCTTTCACTAGCCGCGTGGGGCTTTTCCCCTGAGGAGGGAGAAGGGCAGCCCATCAGTGAGGGCTGCCCTTCTCCCTCCTGGGGAAAACCCTGCAAGCGCCGCATACATGCTCCACGCGGCTTGTGAAAGGGAGCGCTGAGCAGAGCCTGGGATGCATACAGGTTCTGCTCAGCGCTCCCTTTAAAAATATTTTTTTTCTTGAATTCCCCCTCTAAAAACTAGGTGCACCTTATGGTCAGGTGCGCCTTATGGAGCGAAAAATACAGTAGCCGGGCATTTTAATGATTATCTGCATTGGTTTTAATGTTTTGACGCTGTACACTGTTCTTTTATTTTATTATACAGCGGCATAGAAATACTTTTAAAAATAAATAAAATTTACAGTATGTTGCTGAGAAACCTGTCTTAAAGAGATGGCCTATGGCACAAACTTTGGTCATTTTATATGCCATGTAGAGGTTTTTATGTAATTCTGTTGTGTTTTATGTTACTTTGTGCTTTGGAACGTTTTAAAAACGCTAATTAGGCTTTCATTTTTATTCCAGATATGAAAAAAAGGTTTATTGGAATAAGGATGCTGACAATAACACCTGCGTAAGTCTCTCTTGGTGTACTGAACTACAGAACACCCAGAGCTGCATTCGTGTATATAATTCCAGTTGAAATAAGCCCATCTCCCATGTGCAGAATTGTAACCCTGGGCCCAAATCCAGTTGTAGCCAGGGGCTGAGAATCATGTGTAACAACTGGTGGACCAGATGAGCATTCTCATTCACATCAAAAAGAAGCATTGCAGGCATCTGGGGTCAGCATTTTCAGGCAACGACCAATGCCATAATGCCTCAGGAAGGCTCATTGGCACTACCTCCTGACCTGTTGTGTAGGAAGAGGAGCATCTGGGCAGCTGCCCTCCTTCCCTCAGTGGCACTGCACCCCTGCTGGCACGCATAGCCTCTCTTTTGCAGCTACTGCCCAGAATAGGAAAGCCTGCTGTTGTGTTGTGGCACCAACTGACAGCCCAAGTAGACCGGCAGGAGAGGTGAGTGAGCAGCAGCAGCAGCAGTACCAGGTACTGGGAGATGCTGGCAGCAGTGGGGATTGGACCACAGGTCTCATCCTCACATCTGTCCAGAGAGAGAGGACAGGTAAAGTTCATCTCCTGTACATCTGAGGGTGCAAGTGATGAAGGTGGTAAGGAGGTGCCACAGCCTCTTGGGAGAGAGCAGAGCAAGCATGGACTGCAGCCGCTCCTCTCTGCTCTGCCTAACTGCTCATTTTGGCAAGCAGTGAGGAACATCTGTGTGGGAATGTTCAGGGTGACAGGAGAGGATATATTGTTTATTAATATCCTTCCTAACTTGTGCTAGCAAGTTCCTTTACTTAGCAGAGTTACATTCCCCTTTTTACACGCACAGCAGATAGCTGGTTGCAGGCTTGTGTGAGCCTCTCACTATTATACAATTCAGTCTGTCTCAGATTGAATTGTACATTCCTAGTAAGTTTCCTTGATTCCCTCTTAGAAGAATAAAGACACCACAATCTTATTCAAAGTCAATAAAAGAAGTTTACTTACATCAGTTCACAGTTGGATTCCTGAAGGCAGACTTAGTTACAAATATGTACCGTATTTTTCGCCCTATAGGACGCACCTAGATTTGGGGGGGGGGATAAAGGGGAAAAAAATTATTTTTCCCCCCCCCAGGCGCGGGGCTGGGGCGGGGGAAGCCCGAGCTTCCCCCTCCCCCAGCCCCCAGAGCGGACCCAGAGCGATGCCGAAGCTGCGTGCAGCTTTGGCATCGCTCTGGGAGCTTGCGGGGCTGGAGGAGGGGGAAGCCCTCCGCCAGCCTTCTAACCAAGTCGGGGGACAGCGGGAAAGGCGCGCTGCGCCTCCCGCTGTCCCCCGAGTTTGCGGGGCTGGCGACGGGGAGGAGCAGGCTTCTCCCCCCGCCAGCCTTCTAACCAAGTCGGGGGACAGTGGGAAAGGCGCGCTGCGCCTCCCCGCTGTCCCCCGAGCTTGTGGGGCTGGCGGTGGGGCTCTCCAGGCTTCAGCGAAGGCCTGCATTCGCCCCATAGGACGCACACACATTTCCCCTTCATTTTTGGAGGGGAAAAAGTGCGTCCTATAGGGCGAAAAATACGGTACATGTGGATCTACCCCATATGGGGGAATAAACCCAGTGCTTCTGCTAGCTGAGAGCTTGCAAAGCAGTCCTAGCTAAAAGCTGGTCAAACGAAGAAGGAAGTCAAAAAGAGGGAGGTGTGCTGCATGACTCGTCCCTTTGTTACCTGGACAGGTTAGGTCACGCCCGCCTTCTATCACATGCAAAAAGAAGGATGCTCCAGCCAGGAGGAACAGGAAGTTTTGACTGGCTGGACCAAACATTCCCTTTTATGTCTTCTCTAGCATTTCAAGGAATGTTGTACTTGACTGCTTCTCATGGATCACATCCCACAGTCTGCAGCAGCAGCTGCTGCCTCCCATCTCAGTCAGGAAGAGGAGGAGAAGCTGCCATTGCCTTGTTGAAGGGGGTGGCCACAAGAAGCTCGCCTGACCACAGACAATAACCTTGGACTACTTGAACGAGGGTGTGGATGCGCATCCACAGTGTCTGCAGAAGGCAGCTTATGCATGTGGATGCCTCTTATACGTGTGCATGGATGTGTGTAGCTAGGCTGTGATTTTATGTTTTATTAGAGACACTCCTGAGTTTATAATGACTAAGGACCAAAGTTCACATGACATGTAGTTTGCCCCCAGTATTTTTCCTTTTACAAAATTAAGGGTGCCATCTAAAGTGGAAGATAAGCACAGAGGATAAGAGACTTCTTAATCCTTGACCACTCAGGTTTTCCTGATTAAAAACAATAGTACACACCCCAAAAGTTGCTTGTCTCAGGGCAGAACCAGCTGGGAGGGGAGTGGTTTTTTGGCAGAAAAGAACTGTAGGCTCATAGTCCATTTTAGATCACAGTCTCTGCAACTGCATTTTGTAAAATAAAATATAAAAAGCTGTTGGGAGACACTCCCCACAAGTGACTGTAGACAACACATTGGAACAGCTGATCCAACAGCCAGTTTATTTGTGGAAATAGTTTCCCAGGCAAGATTACGTGTGAGCTGTGTACTGTGATAAGAGGGGCTTGCAGCGATTCCTCCACAAGAAAGCTGTGATCTTCCATTGTGGTGTTGAGGCTTCTGGGGATAACTTTGGGTTGCTGAGAGAAACAGAACACAATTTTTTAAAATTAAACAAAATTGGCAAGAAGTTCCTATGCAGCTGCAGGGTGGTATTGGCAGCAGCAGAATCCTTTGTCTACTGCAGATACTTGGAACTCCCTGAACACCCTGTTAGGATGTTCCCCAATTCCCTGAGACTCCTGGGCTCTTCACAGGCCCCTCAAGGCCCAGCAGCTGATGAGAAACAGCTTATTTCAGCAAACTCCAAAAAGGAATGCCAGCCAGCAGCACTGCCAAGTCTGAGGGGTCCCTTGGCAAGGTGACCTCTGGGTGCCACCCTGATTTCTCTGCAGTCCTTTCGCCTCACTGCCCTTCCTCTGCCAGGCAGCAAGAAAGGGCCCCCATTCCTTGTTTATGTGGGTGGGCAGAGTGAAAAATACATTCTCCGAAGGATGGCTTAGGCAGCAGCCTCTTATTAATGCTGAAGTAGCTTGCTTTTGAATTCTGGTGCTGGAGGAGACTCTTGAGAGTCCCATGGACTGCAAGAAGAACAAACCTATCCATTCTTAAGGAAATCAGCCCTGAGTGCTCACTGGAAGGACAGATCCTGAAGCTGAGGCTCCAATACTTTGGCCACCTCATGAGAAGAGAAGACTCCCTGGAAAAGACCCTGACGTTGGGAAAGATGGAGGGCACAAGGAGAAGGGGACGACAGAGGGCGAGATGGTTGGATAGTGTTCTCGAAGCTACCAGCATGAGTTTGACCAAACTGCGGGAGGCAGTGGAAGACAGGAGTGCCTGGTGTTCTCTGGTCCATGGGGTCACGAAGAGTCGGACACGACTAAACGACTCAACAACAACAAAGCTTTACCTCTCTGCACACAAACCTCAGTTGATGCTGCACAGGCTACACAGTGGGAATCACTTGAGCAGCACATGCCTGGAAGCGTCATGGCTGGTGGCCTCATTCTGATACAAAATATGAATAACTGTCATTTTATCGTCCACCCAGTTTGCTTTAATGGCAGCAGGAAAAGGCTCACTTTCCTGAACCCCAGAGGTTTATAGTCAACAAAGTTGGCCCGTCAGACTTCTGCCTGCACTCCAGGACTTTCTCTCCCTCTCCTCTCCCCATGCGTACTCCCCCAGCCCCCATATCTGTTCAGAGAATTTTCCCCAACCCTCTGATGCAGATTTGAGCATCAGAGGAGAGAAAGTCCCATTGCTCAGCTGGAAGTTCTTGCACTAATGGGGCAGCTTTGTTGGATACAACCCAAAATATCCAGAGATGGGAGTGGGGAGGGATGGGCTCATCCTCATCCTCTCGCACTTTGAGAAGAAATAGTGCTCCTAATCTTCCAGACACCCAGTAAGCTTTTCTCAACCCTTCCTTCCAAAAAACCAGAGGAGCTCTGCAGCAAAGTCCACCTGCCCCTTCCTGCATGAGTTTCCCTCTCTCTGGGGTACTACATCTGTTCCCAGAAGCTGAATGTTACAACCATTTTTTTCAGAAAAGCTACTCATCCACCTCGCCTTTCACCAAGAGGCCACATAAACAGCCTGTGTCTTACAAGTTTCACTTGCACTGCTAACTTCCATTTAACACAATACTGCAAAGTTGTTTTAAAATGTTAATTCATGGAGGTAGAAATTCTGAATTCTTCAAAAGCTGCAGCAGCAATAGTAATACAATGATTCAATTTTGGTAATATTTGTGCTTCTTTTCTTTCTTTTTTTTAGACTAGTGGAAGAACTTAAGCTCGATGATCCAGATTTTCCAGATGTCAGTAGTGGAATTTATGTGCATGAAGTTGTTCCAAATTCTCCATCTCAGAGGTATATTGGTCACAATCCAGAAGCAGTTGCTTAAAACATGCTAAATCCAGCATAAACTCAGAGGCACAATTAGATTCAAGGTTCAACTTGTGTTGACTGATTTTTATTTTTTAACCGTCTAAAAAAACTTGTAATGAGAGCCCTGCTTTCTTTTTCTGGAGTTGTATATCCAGTGGTATTTCATTTTTAAGTATTATTCTTAAAGTCTCAGTTGTATTAGATTTCAAACCACGTAGGAGAAGTCTGTAATATCTGTGCTTATTTTTGTTTTTTGTTCTAATATTGTTTTTAATGCTGTAACCCACCCTGGGACCTTAGGCTACAGGGTGGGTTGTAAATAACAATAACAATAACAATTCATTGTAAGATGCTTTGGGAGTGTTTAAGATAAAGGTAAAGGTACCCCTGACCATTAGGTCCAGTCGCAGACGACTCTGGGGTTGCAGCGCTCATCTCTCTTTATTGGCCGAGGGAGCCGGTGTACAGCTTCCGGGTCATGTGGCCAGCAGGACTAAGCTGCTTCTGGCGAACCAGAGCAGCACACGTAAACACCGCTTACCTTCCTGCCGGAGCACCTATTTATTTACTTGCACTTTGACGTGCTTTTGAACTGCTAGGTTGGCAGGAGCAGGACCAAGCAACGGGAGCTCACCCTGTCGCAGGGATTCGAACCGCCGACCTTCTGATCAGCAAGCCCTAGGCTCTGTGGTTTAAACCACAGCGCCACCCGCGTCCCTCTTGGGAATGTTTAGGGGAGGTCAAAATGTTTTAATAAATAAATTTGTTTGTGGGTTTTTTAAAAAAATTAAGGATGGACTTTAGCTTATTACTGTTTCTCTTTTGCCATCACAGAGGTGGGATTAAGGATGGAGATATCATTGTTAAGGTGAATGGGCGTCCATTGGAGACTTCTGCTGACCTACAAGATGCAGTAATGACTGAATCACCGCTACTACTTGAAGTTAGAAGGGGAAACGATGACTTGTTGTTTAACATAGAACCTGAAGTGCTTATGTAAAACAAACTGAGGAAGATCATTGCAACACAATTAAACTCATTTATTCTGGAACATCAGATACCTCCTTTACAATGTTAGTAATAGCACCTTGTGTTGACTGATGACAAGGTGGATTGACATAACTGCCTGAGCCGGGGCTGTACCTGACAGTCAACAACCTCACTACTTCAAGAAAAGTTCCTTTTGGTAGTTCTGCATATTGAATTTCATATAGTGTACGACTGCTGTATATGAAAGCAGTGAAATGTAGAAAAATGATTCTTATAGAATTATTGCCTGATATAAAAGCAAAACAATGTGCTAAAACTTTGAGAAAGTGCACAATTTTTCAGGGTTTTTAAAATGATTTTTTTTCATTGTATTAAGAAAGCATTATTGTACAAATTGTATACTTATGACAAGTACTGTATGTTCTACTGTACAAAGATTAAAGTTTACACAACTGAAAAGTTTTCTCTTTAATTCTGTTTAGCTATTATTTCCTAGTACTATTGCTTTGAACAGAAGCACTATACAACAGCCCACCTGAGCCCCTCAATAGAAGTGCTATACTATGACAACTAGGGCTATATCACTCACATTGGAGCTTAAACCATTGCCAAAGAGGAGTATAGTACTTGTAATGTTAGCTGGAGCTGGTGTCCTTTGGGACGAAGGGCAGGATATTTATTGAACAAATTAGTAGATAATGTTATATAGTATCTCTTCTGGATTCACTAGAGGGAAGGGTGAAAACAAGGATGCACATCTGTCACTACTGTTCACTAAGTGTCTGTTGCGCAGCAAAATGTTATGTGAACATTTCCCCAAGAAAAACAATAGAATCATAGAAATTTAGGCACCAGCAAAAATGTTTCTCCTTAACCAGGCCTTTGGCAAATTAACAGTCTCTGTCTTTCTAAATGTGTTTGTGGAAAGGGAGGTTATTGGTTTTATGTTTGTTTTGGATCTTATTTTCTTATTTTTGTGTTCTCATCTTGTACTTTTATTTTTTTAAAAAAAAGATATTTATTAGAGTTTAAGTATTACAAAAAAAAGAAAAAAAGAAATACAAGCAATAAACAATTACAAAACCTCAAAAACAAAAGGAAATACAATAATACAAAACATCAACAGTACATCAACACATTAAAAAAGAAAAAAAAACATTTAAAAAACACAAACCTTTAAAAGATAGAAGGGAAAAAAGAAAAAGAAAAAAGAACCAAAAAACCCCCCGTATTTTCATATCCTTATCTTTCATTTGCTTATTTCCTCGACTTCCTCACACCTCCTTTTTTGTATTCTAGTTCAATTAATTGTTCCAGCAAGTCCTTTCCCTCTTTCTCAGATTTAGTTCCATAATTTATCTTAACGCAATTTAACCTTAAGTTTAACCTTTACCCATTATCAGTCTATTCATACTTAATTCTTTATAACATTTCTACTAGAGTCATATAACTTCTTTCCAGCATCCTTCTAACATTCATTAATTTTACAATATTTCTGTAAATATACTTTAATTTTTTTCCAATCTTCTTCCACCGACTCTTCTCCCTGGTCTCGGATTCTGCCAGTCATTTCCGCCAGTTCCATGTAATCCATCAGCTTCATCTGCCATTCTTCCTTGGTAGGTAGATCTTGTGTCTTCCAGTGCTTTGTGATAAGTATTCTTGCTGCTGTTGTGGCGTACATGAAAAAAATTCTGTCCTTCTTTGGCACCAATTGGCCTACCATGCCCAGGAGAAAGGCCTCTGGTTTCTTTAGAAAGGTATATTTAAATACCTTTTTCATTTCATTATAGATCATCTCCCAGAATGCCTTAATCTTTGGGCATGTCCACCAAAGGTGAAAGAATGTACCTTCAGTTTCATTACATTTCCAACATTTATTATCGGGCAGATGGTAAATTTTTGCAAGCTTGACTGGTGTTATGTACCACCTGTAAATCATTTTCATTAAATTCTCTTTTAAGGCATTACATGCTGTAAACTTCATACCAGTGGTCCATAACTGTTCCCAGTCAGCCATCATAATATTATGTCCAACATCTTGTGCCCATTTAATCATAGCAGATTTCACCATTTCATCTTGAGTATTCCATTTCAACAGCAAGTTATACATTCTTGACAAATTCTTAACTTTAGGGTCTAACAATTCTGTTTCCAGCTTTGATTTTTCCACCTGGAAGCCTAGTTTTTTTGTCCAAGTTATATGCCTCCATTATTTGGTAATAATGGAGCCAATCTCGTACTCTGTTTTTTAATTTTTCAAAGCTCTGCAGTTTTAATCTGTCACCCTCTTGTTCCAAAATTTCCCAATACTTCGGCCATTTGGCCTCCATATTGAGTTTTTTCTGAGCCTTTGCTTCCATTGGTGACAGCCATCTTGGGGTTTTATTTTCTAACAAATCCTTATATCTTATCCAAACATTAAACAGTGCTTTTCTTACAATATGGTTTTTGAATGCTTTGTGTGCTTTAACCTTATCATACCACAAATATGCATGCCAACCAAATACATTATTGAAACCTTCCAAATCCAAAACATCTGTGTTTTCAAGAAGCATCCATTCTCTCAGCCAACAAAAAGCGGCTGATTCATAATAAAGTTTTAAGTCTGGCAGGGCAAATCCACCTCTTTCTTTAGCATCAGTTAGTATCTTAAATTTTATACGAGGCTTCTTGCCCTGCCAGACAAATCTGGAGATATCTCTCTGCCACTTCTTGAAACAGTCCATTTTGTCCAAAATTTGCAGTGTTTGAAACAAAAACAGCATTCTTGGCAATACATTCATTTTTATCACAGCAATTCGGCCTAACAATGATAGCTTCAAATTTGACCATATTTCTAAATCTTTTTTCACTTCAGTCCAACATTTTTCATAATTATCCTTAAATAAATTCACATTCTTAGCAGTCATATTAACCCCTAAATATTTCACTTTCTTAGCCAGTGTCAGTCCTGTCTCCTTCTGAAACTTCTCTCTCTCAATCTCATTTAGATTTTTCTCCAAAACTTTAGTTTTCATCTTATTCAACTTAAAACCTGCTACCTGACCAAATTCTTGAATCAATTCAAATCTCATCTTGTACATTTATGTCATGAACTGCCCTGTGATCTTTGGAGGAAGGGAAAATACAGATTTAATAAATAATAATAGTAGTAGTAATAATAATAATAATAAATAATAGAATTGTAGAGCTGGAAGGGATGCATCCAATCCAACCCCTAAGGAGAGGAAGAGATTAATTTTATTAGTAATTATTTAGGCTCTACTGAGTGAGAACTAAGTGGAAAGGACCTTGTCACATCCTCCATCTAATGCACGAAACTGCTGGCCAGCCTGCCAGAAGGCTGGAGGCCACAAAGCTATTTCTAAGTACTAGAGCAGGGGTGAGCAACCTTCTTCAGCCATGGCCTGGTCCACCATCCCTCAGACCATGTGGTGGGCTGGGCTATATTGTGAATAAATAATAATGAATGAATTCCTATGCCCCACAAGTAACCCAGAGATGCATTTTAAATAAAAGCACACATTCTACTCATGTAAAAACACGCTGATTCCTGGACCGTCCGTGGGCCAGATTTAGAAGGCGATTGGGCCGCATCCGGCCCCTGGGCCTTAGTTTGCCTACCCCTATACTAGAGGGATCCTGCACTTGTGTGCGCAGACTGGCTGAACCACTCTCAAGTGGAGCCAGCAGCCGTAACTGATGCTGGGGGTTAGTGACAGCACTCCCACTTTCCTCCTGAGCTTGGTACACACCTCAACAGAGAATCAGGTTGCATATTTATTAGTTTATTTATTATTATCATTATTATTATACTCCACCTTTCCACCTGACATGGCTCAAGGCGGCTTCCTGATAAAAATAAGAACCGCTTAAAAACACAGGAAAAAACAATCATTAAAAACAATTCAACATTGATAGAATTAGAACGATATACATATATAAAATCTTAAAACCATACAAATAATTGCAATAAAAACAGCAGGGCACCAGTATTTTCATTAAAAAGTAGTGAGTTCCCCAATAATTAATAATAATAATAAATTTTTATTTTATACCCCGCCCTTCCCGGTTTAAAAACCGGGCTCAGGGCGGCTAACAGCAAATATAAAACATTGATTAAAATGCGACTATAAAACAGCATAAAACACAACATAAAATGCAGCATCAATATCAATCAAATTCAAAAATTCAGGGGTCATTTTGGGGAGGGGAAAAAACAACAGCCCAGATAGTAGACATCAAATGATCACCAGGGCTAACTGGCCCAAAGCCTGTTGCAACAGGAAAGTCCACCTGCCTGAGGAAGGACAGCAAGGAGGGAGCCAGTTTGGTTTCTCTAGGGAGGAAGGTCCAAACCACGGAGCCACCACTGAGAAGGCCCTCCCAGTGGCGTAGCGTGGGGGTGCAGGGGGGCCCGGCTGCACCGGGCGCAACATCTGGGGGTTAGGGTTAGGGGGCGCAAATACACGGGTTAGGGGGCGCAAATTACTTGCCTTGGCCCGGGTGCTGACAACCCACGCTACGCCACTGGGCCCTCCCTCTCCCGCTTCCCCACCAAGCAGGCTAGTGAGGGTGGCGGGACTGAGAGAAGGGCCTTCCTTGAAGATCTCAAGAGGCTGAGCAGGGTCCTATGAGGGCATGAAGTCCTTCACCTAGCTTGGACCTAAGCCATGTAGGGCTTTATAGATAATGTGTCCTGCTGGTGCGTGTGGTGGCCAGGAACACGAGTGGGGAGTTGCCTGCAGGGGCGGAGGAAGGGGGATTCGGTAGGTGTGGTGCACCCCAGGTGTCCTCACTGGGGGGTGACAAAATGCCGGGCAGCACTCACTGCAGGGCCTGCAGCACGCCCGAGACACACGTCTCTCCTGGGAGTGACATGGTGGCTTGAGCGCCCGCAGGCTTCGCAATGCCCCAAATGGTTCGCCCGCAGCCTGCCCCTCAGCTGTAGGGCTGAGTGGGAGGAGGCAGGCAGACTCCTCGCAGGCCCTGCGGAGTGTCCTGGCCCCGCCCCATGGGTGGCACATGCGCCGACCCAGGCACCCAATCGGCTTGCTCTGCCACTGGTTGCCTGTACTGTAATGGATAAAAAGGTAAAGGTAAAGGGACCCCTGACCATTAGGTCCAGTCGTGCCTGACTCTGGGGTTGCGGCGCTCATCTCGCTTTATTGGCTGAGGGAGCCGGCGTACAGCATCCGGGTCATGTGGCCAGCATGACTAAGCCGCTTCTGGCGAACCAGAGCAGCGCACAGAAACACTGTTTACCTTCCCGCCAGAGCGGTACCTATTTATCTACTTGCACTTTGACATGCTTTTGAACTGCTAGGTTGGCAGGAGCAGGGAGCTCATCCCATTGCGGGGATTCAAACCGGCCACCTTCTGATCGGCAAGTCCTAGGCTCAGTGGTTTAACCCACAGCGCCACCCGTAATGGATAGTCTTTAGCAAATACTTATCTCTGGCCCCACATATTTATCTCTGGTACAATTTTGTGCATTATACTGGGTATACTTACTAATCTGAAACAAAATGCTCCTTTAAATGCATGCATCTTGATTGCCCCGGGCAGCTAAATGACTAGGGCCTGCTTTGGGTGTGCATGCATTCACTTTCAAATATAGGACAGGACAGTAAACATTGGGAGAACAACAGCTAAAAGTGAGCAACTTCTTTTTAGAAATAGACGTGTTGCTTTATGCCACAGTATCGCATTATTTGCGCATGTTCGGTTTGTTGCCCATTACAGATTTGAAACCTCTGAAATCCTGCCACCTGGTTCCTTAAACCCATAGTCTTTCCTCTGCAGAACCCTTCGCATTTGCTGCTGCTATCTGCCCAGCTAATTTTGAATGTATCCCCTTTCCACTAATGGTGATCCTACAAATGTCTTGACAGATGTCACGAAAAAGAGATGAATTCTTTCTTCCCTGAATAAAGGTTTGAAAAGTGTTTCAGGGAAAATAATTGAGAAAACTTGCTAACCAAATAAGGAGCTCTTGGAGCTTTTAAGTTATGTTCTGATATCGCTCTTGTAAGCCAGTTAGCACACATATTTTATTGAGCAGCAGTATAAATATAGTGTAACAATAATAAATGGTTTCCCCTCACCTTCTTTTCTTACAACTCATTTTGAAGCCTTACTTTTGGACAGTTAAGTACTTGAGTCCTTGTTTAAAGCAAGATGTTCAATTGATTTAAAATAAATAACAAAGTAAGCACCCAGTTACTCTTTCTGTGTCTGTGTCAACGACAAAAAAAATAGGCTTATCACCAAGTCTGGGCTTTGTCTGAGGGAAAACTCTGGCAGCAGTAACTTGTTTCGGTCAAGTTTAGGTCAAGAGAATGAAAGCATGAGAGCTTCATTAGCTAGCTTATTCTGTTATTCCCAGAAAGAGGTATCACAAGCCCATCACATTACTCAGAATTTGATCAGAGTCCCAGCATAGTTAATGAGAAAACTTTAGTGGAAACTTGATATGAATCTTCTTAAAGTTAACATAAAAATTTGCGAGACCTCATGTATGCATAAAAGAGGCAGTTGTTCCGTAAGAATGAGTGCAATACAATGATCCTATAGATGGGGTTATCAACCAAGAGTGGTTTTCTTTCAGTTTAACCGGTTCTGCACAACCTGCTAGATAGTATATTTGACTACTAAAACAAGGGAGGGGGGGCTGTGCAATATTTACCCAGGATTCTGGAACAAAGTGGGTTGTGCTCAGTTCATCACAAAAGGCTCTTGTGCAAGTGCTGCTTCTGGGTCAGGGACCCTCTTGTGATGCAGGAGGAGTTCCTTGGTCCTGTTCGCAATGGCCTGTCCCCTCTTGAGTTAGGGGTCCCATGGGTTGTGGTGGTCAGGTATAGAGTACAGGGAACTCACTGGTTCAGCATACTGGTTATGTCTTGAAGAACAGGAACCAAATAAGATAAGTCCAGAAGTTCAGTCTGGGCCAAGTGAAAGATCACAGAGAACCCTGGAGAGCTCCCTCGTTGGCAACAACTCTCTGCAGTCCTGCAAAAGCTCGTCAGCCTGATACCTCCTGTTAGGCCTGGTCCCTTTGAGGAGCTGTTTGTTATTCAAAGGGCTGTGGTTCCACTGGCTCCTAGAGGTGGTAAAGAGGGATGTCCTCTGTGCTGCAGGAGGTGGACAAGGATGGTCCAGAAGTGGAGGACAATGGTGTCCTCTGCCTCTGAGCTGGATTGCATATTGTTGGCCCAAGAACAGGATACCCAAACATTTTGCTGGTGTCACTGAGTCCCAAGGTGTTGGCAGAGGAGGAGGAACAGAAGGGTGGCATTGCAGGGCGGGCTAAGACTGGGCAACAGACGGGAGGAGGCCTGGTAATCCCCCTTCCAAGGAGATGGCTGCCTTGGCTCAGGATGCAGGACTCTCTCCTAGGGAAAGGAGCACAGGAACAGACTCCAGGGAGGCTGTCAGACCAATGCTGGGGGCTGAGGAACCAGAAAAGGGAAGGGCATAGCCTGGTTGCCCAGGGCCTGGCAGTGCTCCCGTCACTGGGGATTGGTGCATCTTCCCCAATGCAGTGAGCATTTGCACACTCAGCCATCTCACAAGGCACGCGGATCTTGTCAGTAAATGCTCAGCAGGTGGGAGTGCCAACCCGTTGGGACCATTCTGCAGTTTCCATGCAAATCTGAGCTCTTTGCCTCCTTTAATTATTATTTGCTGATATTTTGTGCATTATAATATTCTAAGGTTATTGATTATTTGATTCAAGTTGTTTATTTTAAGTCATATCTTTTATTGCGTCTTATTTGCATGGGACTGGGTTATTATATGATGCATGGTCTTTGCTGTATATTTTGTAGCTTCTTCAGCTTGCAAACTGCCTTGTGTATAGCAATATAGCAAGGCGGTGTACAAACTAAAAGTTTGGGTGCTGATGAAGAGGTTGGATCACTGCTTCTAGCCTGACTGCCCTCACATTTCCTGCATCAATCCTGAGCCTAACAGCTACTGTGATTCATCTCCTATTCCTGTCTGCAAGTCTTCTTTGCTTCAATAAAGGCCTCTTCCTTACTCTCAAGTAAGAGTCTCTGTTGCCTCAGCCTGGATAGGCATCAGGAGAGCGAGGACAATAGTGGGAGAATATGACAAGATCAATGGGATGCCAGGGAAGGGTGGCATTTAACAAGGATAATTCACACACACACATACTTCCACACATTTGGGCCCTCTCCATTAGAAAGCCGATTCTGACTTGGTGCCACATGTGTAAAGCCAACTTAGAATGTGACAGGTCAAACAAGTCATACATAAGATCAGGGTGTCTCCTTGGCCCCCAGATTAACATTTACTGGAAGCAAATAACCAGTAGTCTAATGACTTAAGTACAAAACCAGTCAAAGGAAGAAAATGTTCCTTGCTTCCTTCTCAGCCTGCCATTGAATGAGTTAAGAATGAAGTCAGAAGGTGCCACAGCGCTGACTAGCAACTGCCTCATCCTTCAGTTGTTTCAAAACAATGTCTTGGCAATTCCTACATTTCTATGGTTACTAGAGAATAATGGGAAAATAGCTGAACTGAGTTGCTACAACCTGCTGGCAAAAAATAGTTTTGTAGGAAAAATACTATGAGAGAAAAACCTCGAGTTGTACATGACTACCCAACCAACAAATTTTGGGGACTTTAGCTTACAATTATAGAGCACCAAGGGGCCAAATTACACTTCTCTCAGGAGGACATAGCAATCAGACAACAGGCAAAAGTTTAGACTCAAAGAATATACTATTAGTGCAAAAGATAATTCTGTTTTTATGTTTGGATCAGGTTGGGGGAACTTCCAGTTGACATGCCAGTCTTGGTCTGCCATGCATGCCAAATTGCAAAGATAATTCACGGCTATTTCCCCCAAATTACGCCTACCTAATGAAGTCCCACCTAATGGGTAGGAGGGGAGGGATAAATCCTGTGTTGGCTGTCCGTATCTGTTCCCAACCCTACTCATCAGGTTAAGTCCTGCTCAGTTTGGCAACTTCCAAGCAAACCCCTCCCAGGTTCAGAAAGGGGGTTGCGTTAAAAACCAGGCTCAATCAACTCACTTCCCACAGACATTTTAGCAGGGCTTTCCATATATCTGGAAAGGTTTTACATTCAAGCCTGCTGAACCTTTGCTTTAGCAGTGGCTTGCAGGGTGCTTATACGTTTATATTATGTCACTGTGTTGTCAGGCGACCGACAGGCTGGAAGCCCCACCCAATAAGGATCTGGCTTGGTAAGCATCAGATTAATCTATGATATGTAGCTATGGCAGGTGAAAATATGAATCGCTGATAAAAATGGGAGTCAGGTTACTTGCAGGAGCATGACCAACTTCAAGTTGATGAAGCCCAGGGGGCTAACGGGATGGGTCCAAAGAGCCTGGCACCTTGGAAGAGGCAGTGAGGCATCCTGTCCTTAAGAGGTCCTCCCTGGAATCTGAGGATTTAAATAACTACCATCCAGCCACCAGTACCTCAAATATGCTACTCAAGAGGACTGTGGCCACCCAACTCCAGGCACCCTTGGATTGAACTGATTATCTTCACCCATTCCATCATCATCATCAACATCATCACCATCATAATTTATACCCCGTCCATCTGGCTGGGTTCCCCCAGCCACTCTGGGTGGCTTCCAACAAAATATTAAAATACAGTGGTCTGTTAAACATTAAAAGCTTCCCTAAACAGGGCTGCCTTCAGATGTCTTCTAAAAGTCTGGTAGTTGTTCTTCTCTTTGACATCTGGTGGGAGCGTGTTCCACAGGGTGGGCGCTGCTACTGAGAAGGCCCTCTGCCTGGTTCCCTCTAACTTGGCTTCTCGTAGTGAGGGAACCACGAGAAGGCCCTCGGCGCTGGACCTCAGTGTCCTTTGACTTTTAGGCCTGGTTCTGGCATTGATACAGCTTTGGTTGTTGTGGTGGATAGGAGAGAGACCAGAGGACAACCCTGTCAGTTCTTCTTGAGCCCTCAGCTACTTTGATACAATTGGTCATGCTATTCTCCTGGAGCAGCTCTGTGGGTTGGGAGTGAAACCACAGAAATATGGTGATTTCACTCCTATCTGGGGGCCATTTCCAGAAAGTAACTTACAGTTAATTCTGCTCAGCCCCAGAGCAGTTATTCTGTGGAGTCCCACAGGGCTCCATCTTTTCACCAAGGCTATTTAACATTTATGAAGAGCCGTTAGCTGCAGTGGTCGTCAAAGAGTTTGCAGTTCGGTGCCATAAATATGCTGATGGCACCCAGCTCCAGCTCTATCATCTCATCCAGATGAATCTCTGTCTGTGATGAATCAGTTCCCGGAGGCGATAATGGGTTGGATGAGAGCCAATAAACTGAAAATGAGTCCCAGCATCTGCATCCAAGATTTAATCCAATGTTCCAGTGTTTTGCAATAGTACTCCAAGATTCAGTGGCTTGATAACATGACAACTTGGATCCTTAAGTCTAAACAGGCACACGCATTATTGTCTGACTACAATTCACCTTAACTGCCTTATCTGGATTCGACAGCCATATTTCCAAGAAATACGGACCTCACTTAGCAGGTTGGCACCATGTTCTTTGAGGCACATTCAGCAAAGGGAAGAAACAAGAATCCACCACAGGACCCACTCATCTCACATGGAAACTATTTTGATCCTCTTTTCACAACACCCACTTTTTCCTGCAGAATTAAAGGTACCAGCCATGATGGCAATGTTCTGCCCATATGTTCTGTTTACTAGTTGAGAGTTGTGAAGGGAGCACTCTTGCGCTCATGGCCCGCTTGCAGGCTTCCTCTTGGCATGTGGCTGGTCAATGTGGGAACAGGAGGCTGAGCTAGATTCAGGAGGGCTTCTCACTGGTTCTTAATGGAGCTGGGTCCTTAATCCACCCCCCTTTAAACACAGGGCTCCTAATCTGACAGATGCAGCAGTTCTGGGAGTGGGGCCATTGACCCTTTTCATCCTTGGTTATTTCTGCCTTCTAAACTGCCCACAAACCTCTGCTGTCAGTTTCCCATGTGTGGGGGGTGGGGTGGGGAGACAGTAGCTTCTGGTGTTGGTGGGGATTTAGTTTGGGGAAATGATGAAGGAAGGAAGAGGCAGATACCTTTATCCTCAGTCCTGCTCATCCAAACAATTTAGGTCAGGCTTGGTAGTAGAGCAACTGTTTTGTATGCAGAAGGTTCCAGGTTAAATCCTCAGGATCTCCTCCTCTTCTTCTCCTCCTCCTTCTTCTTCTCCTTCTTCTTCTTCTTCTTCTTCTTCTTCTTCTTCTTCTTCTTCTTCTTCTTCTTCTTCTATGGCGATCCCTCGTAGCCAAGTAAGATTGTCTTCCATAAATATGGTTTTAGCAGTGAGTCGGTAAGTGACTGTGGAGGCCAATTCTGGATCCACACATCCTTCTACAGTGGGGACATTGGTTACCGGGCAGGAGTTGATCACGGTGAGTGGTTGGCAAGCGTGCCTTCCTCTTAGCATGCTTCTTCCTTTCATCCTGAGTTTGTGCTTCTTCAAAGTCAATGACACCTTTGGAAAGGCTGTTGTCCAATTGGAGTGCTCGCAGGCCAGTGTTTCCTAATCGTCAGTGTTTATACTACGTTTTTTTTTAGATTTGCCTTGAGAGAGTCTTTAAACCTCTTTTGTTGACCACCAGCATTACGCTTTCCATTTTTAAGTTCAGAATAGAGTAATCAGACCTTCGAACAATATGACCAGGCCAATGAAGTTGATGTTGAAGAATCATTACTTTGACACTGGTGATCTTTGCTTCTTTCGGTACACTCGCATTGGTTTGCCTGTCTTCCCAAGTGATATGTAATTTTTTTCAGAGACACTGTTGATGGAATCTTTTGAGGAGTTGGAGGTGGTGTTTATAAGTGGTCCATGTTTCACAAGCATACAGTAAGGTTGGTAAGTACAATAGCTTTGTAAACAAGCATTTTGCTTTCCCTGCAAATGTCCCGGTCCTCAAACACTGCACTTCAATTGGGAGAAAGCTGCACTCACAGAGCTCAGGCGATGTTGGATTTTGGCATTAGTGTTGACCCTTGTTGAAAGATAACTGCCCAGGTAGGAGAAGTTATTGACACTTTCCAACGCTACACCATTGAGTTTGATTTGTGGTGCTGTAGAGGGATTGTTTTGTGCTTGTTGCTACAGCACTTTAGTTTTTTGGAAGTTGAGCAATAGGCCAAGCTTTTCGTAAGCTTCTGCAAAGATATTTAGGATGGTTTGGAGGTCATCCTCTGAGTGTGCACACACTACGTTGTCATCAACATATTGAAGCTCTATGATGGAAGTTATGGTAACCTTACTCTTTGCTTTCAGCCTACACAGATTAAAGAGCTTTCCATCTGTTCTATATATGATTTCTACTCCGGTGGGGAGTTTCCCTTTGACAAAATGTAGGATCATGGGCATGAAAATAATAAATAGAGTTGGGGCGATAACACAACCCTGTTTAACACCTGATCCCATAGTGAATGGTTTACTTTGAGAGCCATTGTTATCTGCAATTGTTGCTATCATATTATCATGGAGGAACTGAAGGATATTCACAAATTTATCTGGACAGCTGATTTTCAGGAAAGTCCACAGGGCATTACGATTTACAGCGTCGAAGGCCTTAGCCAAGTCAATAAATGCCATGTGCAGCAGTTGGTTTTGCTCTCTGAATTTTTCTTGAAGCTGTGAGCAGTGAAAATCATGTCCACTGTCCCCCTAGAAGGTCGAAAACCATTTTGGGATTCAGGAAGCCTCAAATATTGTTAGGAGACAGTGTGCTAAGATCCTTGCAAGGATTTTGCCAGCCACAGCTAATAAAGAGATGCCGCAATAGTTTCCGCAATCCGTTCTATCACCTTTTTTAAAGAGATTGATAATTCTGGCATCCCTAAAGTCTGCTGGGATCTCCCCTGTCTCCTATTTTCCCCCGATGAGCTTGTGAAGTTGTTCTGTTAGTTCAATTCCACCCACTTTGAAGACTTTGGCAGGTATCCCATCAGGACCGCTGGCTTTGTTGTTTTTCATTTGGTTAATAGCTGTACACAACTCACCCAGATCTGGAGATACTGCAAGCTCATCTCCAATTTGTTTTTGTGGAATTTGTGAGAGGACCTCAGCAGCTGCAAAAGACTCCTGCATGAAGCATTGGAGAGCTGCCAGTCACTGGAGACAGCAATGAGCCAGATGAACCAAGGGTGTGACTCAGTTTAGGGCAGCTTCCTATGTTCCTAACCCCAAACAGCTGCACCAAAGTTTCAAAAAACAAACAAAAGCATCCTGATCCCAGTCCTTCTGTGTCATGTCTAGTTTGTCTCCAAGAGAACTACGACTAATTGAAAACTGGCAGACCCTTCTAACCATATTAGTGGCAGCTTGGTGGGGGGTGGGGGAGAAACAAGATCTTTAGCATCGCTTTAAAGTAGGTCTACCACCAGATTCATTGGCCTCGTCTTCTCAGGACAGAGATGATGACTTCCATTTGTGCCTGATCTTTTATCATGATTAAAGCACAGGTTGTCGTCATAGAGACTGTAAATGTGTACGGTACAAAAGTGGGTGTCATA